CCGCCTGGCGGCGAGTGTCCTACCCCTCCACCAAGCCCCTAGCCGCCTGGGTAGCGGACTTCCGTCGCCGCGTGGAGGCCCTGCAGACCTGGCTCTCGAGGGGGCAGCCGCCGGCCTTCTGGCTGCCAGGGCTGTTCTTTCCACAGGGCTTCATTACGGCAGTGCTCCAAAACCACGCTCGTCGTACACGCGTGCCGATTGACCACCTGGTCTTTGACTTCCGTGTGTTGCCGCCGGAGGAAGACCAGAAGCTGATGGATAAAGTGGCAGTGGCAGCCCGGGGGGTTGCCGCGGCGGTGGCAGCGGCGGTGGCCGCCGGCGGCGGCATTAACCCTGTCAGCAGCGGCCGCGGCGCCGTCAACGGCACCAGTGACAGATGTAGCATTAGCAGCGGCGGCGGCGGCGGCGGCGGCACTGGCGTCAATAATGATAACGTGGCAGCGGCTCGTAGCGATGGAGGCGAACAGGACGGCGGCGAGAAGGGGAAGGAGCGCGGCCGGCCTGCGGAGGGGGATGGCGTGTATGTGTACGGCCTGTTCCTAGAAGGCGCGAGATGGGACGAGCGAGGCGGTAAGAGCTGTATGCTGATGGGGGCCTCTGCTGGGTCCTGTTGGAGTTGCCGTTCGGTGCAGTACGGCGGTATCTGCATACCCCTCATGTGCGTATGTATGTATGATTGCATAGTCATATGTATGTATGTATACAACGGAAATCGCTCCTGATTCCTTCCCCGTTACCCACGCCAACATACCCCCACTAACTCCCACACCCGCACCCACACCCGCCCCCAAACCGCAGGCACCCTGGCCGCAGCTCGTCCCGGCGACATGTTCAGCAGCCTCCCCGCCATCCACATGCTACCCAAGCCCACAGCAGAAGTGGAATCCGGCCCGGAAGTGGGCCGCCCAGAGGCCCCCCTGCCACCGCCGTCCGCCGCCTCAGCTACACTCGATATGTCGGCTGGTGCTACTGCTAGTGCGACGGCTGCGCTCCCAGGCGCCGCCAGCGCTGCTGGCTTTGGCCTCGGTCGCCGCAGCGCAGGTGCCGGCAGCCTGGGTGGCGGCGGCAGCACCAGCGGTGGTGGTAGCCTTAGCGGCGGCGGCGGTGGCGGCAGCACCAGCGGTGGTGGCGGCGGCGCCCCTGCGCGTAGTACAACCAGCCGAGTCAGCGGTGTACTGCCGAGCAGCATGGGCAGCACCGGCGGTCGCGGCGACAGTCTTAGCGCCATCCCAAGCCACAGCACCTTCGGCGACCTCCGTACCTCCGTCGCCGGCGGCGCAGCCTTCACGCCAGCGGCGGCGGCGGCTGCGGCCGCCAGCCACGTCTACGCCTGTCCGCTGTACAAGACGAGCGTGCGGGCAGGTGGTCTGAGTACCACCGGCCAGTCGACCAACTTTGTGATCTACCTAAACCTCGCCATCCCGACCGACACACACTCCGACTTCTGGGTGATGTTGGGAGTGGCGGCGCTGTGTGCGCTGGACGACTGATTCCGCGGCCTCGACAGCGGACCCTGCCTCATCCATCATTTCCATCCACCTGGGGTCGACGACTGCATTGGGGATAGAAAGAAGGACTTTACTGAGTAAACAATTTCTCATGGACTGAATGACGACCTCCTCCTGCTAGGATTGGCGATGGGGGCTTTTCGGGCCTTCGGAGCGGATATCGGAGCGTTTAATTCTTCTCCTTCTTGAGTGGTGGCTTGGGTTTTAGGGTTTTAGGGTTTTCATTTGAGGATGATGATGGTGGGTGAGGTAGCCTCGCCCAGGTTACAGGGGAGTTCTAAACCTCAGGCAACATTGTATAAATGGGCCGATGCTATGCTGGTTTGGTAGGTTGGCGGGCAAGGCGGAGTGCTAGCGAGCAAGGTGTCTGAGAGGTTGGGGCCTTGGCCGGGACTAGCCTTCTTTGTTGCTGGCGATCAGCCGGCCAGGGGGAAGAGGGGGGGCCGGGTGCCCACAGGGAGAGGGGTGGCCGGGCCGCGGGTGATGCCGCGGGTGAGTGGGGGCTTAGAGGCGCCGCGTGGGGATCGCTGTGGAGTGGCGACAAGCATGGGGAGAGGGAGAGAGAGCAGGTGCGTCTGATCCGGTTGTGTAGCTAGCAGGCGAGCAGGGACAAGATTTGCGGTTATTGATTCAGCTGTTTGTTTAGCGCTAATGGGTGATGGCTGGGTGTCTCCACCTGGACTGCTTCAAAAAGAGTTCCTCCCTAAGTGTTAGGAAAAAACATTGCCTGCGTCAAAACGTGGTCCCATGAAAGTGTGCGTCAAAGGGGAGGGGCCCCTCTCACTCCTACCTTCCCATCCCAAAAGTTGTCTGGGGCCTATGTCACTTGTTGGCCCATGGCAGGCTTTTGCAGAGCTGATGAGGATGGGGATGAGCTTCCCCGTTGCGGGTGATGAGCTTCCCGTCTTTAGGGATATCTAAAAACAGTCAGGGAGCCTTTATCATAATTGTCCTGCAGCGCTAGCCCTTCGTTGCGGTCTTTGGTTATGTTTAAAGTTTGAACTGCAACCTTCTTCCGCGCACGGCTGTGATCCGTAATCGCCTCGTTTTGCATTTCCTGGAAACATCATAGCAACACTGTTGCAAAGGCTTGTGTAAAGTATCAGGATTTGAGTAACCGCGAGTCCTGGCATTGAGCGCCCTCGCGTGCAGGAGAGCGCAGGATCAACGTAAGGGGCAACTTGCACGAGAGGCGCGATGATGCTTGCAGGATAGCTTCATGCGCTCCCTGCGGCTAGGGCCACTGTATATGCGCCGGAGAGAGGAAAGGCTCCTGGAAAACTGCCAATAATGCCGTCCTGCATCCTGCCTCCCGCGCGTCTGTTTCGTCCGCGTCTTGCAGGTCAGACGATGTGTGTATTATTACAGTACACATATTAAAGTATAGCGACATGAACTGCGTATCAATTTCCAATTGTGCACGGATGCGAAAAAAGTGGGGTATGTATCACTAAGTCATACGGAAACCACAGTGCGAGAGCACCTAAATGCATTCGTTTAAAAGCTAATGGCAAGTATTCAGATCGGTGATTAAAAACTCTGAAAATTGAAGGTGATATCATGTTGCTGGACGGGACAGCGATTCGGCTCAAGATGCAACATGTGGCATGCAACATGTTGCATGGAATAAAAACAAAACGGGATTATGCATGAAACATTTCGTCCAGCCTCATCTGCGTGCCGACTACGACTCAACTTCAGCAGGGTTGAGGATGTTCCAGCGACCGGATCGACCAGGGGCCTCGTACAAGCCTGCGTGCAGAGGCACACAAACACATACGCATAGAAACAGTACCCTTGTTATCAGTATGATTACTACTGGATGCAATCGGAAAACCTACCCCGTGTCCTCGGGCAACGCTAAATATGCCCAACACAAAAGCAACTAGGAACGTTTCAGGCTTTCAGTATAGATTGAGGTTCTTCCATAAATGCAGGCAGGTGGTTCCTGATTAAGTCCCCTACCGTGGCCGGGTGCAGCCGACTTACAAAGTCAACCCACCTGACGCTACGCAATGCAGCCCTTAATTCCACGGCCAGGAAATAAGTCGCCATGTTTCTTGACTTTACAGGTCACCAGCTTCACAATGCTGCGACCCTGGACAAATTGACAGGTGGGCGATGGGCTGGGCCCTCCAATTTTTCGCTGCAAATCTCGACGCAAACAATCTCAACACATGTAACATGTCTAAGCATCCTGTCTGGTTGCCCTGAGTACAGTTATCCTCTCCTGAGTAACCTTCGTCACCATGCCATCGGACAGGGTTACGGGAGCAGCTCTGCTATGAGCACGCTATGCACGTAAATTAGTAGCACTTACAGCGATCCAGTTCGAAAACTCAAACAAATAATTTACTGGACCTACCTATCTATTTTAACTTACCTGCATGGTTTGACTCTGCCTTTCCCACAGGTTCCAAGTACAGGGCAGCGCAGTCGAATCCACGTGCGGCGCTCCCATCATCGTGGTGCTGGTCAGGTACAGGCGCGACCCTGAAAGCGGACTCAGTCGAGAATGTCAGCGCGCGCAATTTGCTCCGGGGGCAACCTCGTTTGCAGTCAAGGTACGCGGTCCTGACAGCTTGAGTCCCGATTTTGACACCTCTGCCACACCGTCCTGCTTTAACGGATAGGCGTAATATCCGTCTCTCTCTCCATCTTCTTTATACTCTAGTCAACGCGTGGGCTGCTGCTGCTGCTGTGCGCGCCTGCCCGTCTCCAATTTTCCCCTTGCTGCTGCTGCTGCTGCTGCTGCTGCTGCTCTTAGGCAGTAGTAGTTCCCGCGGACCAGGTCCTGGCCTTCATGGATCAGCCCCTGCTGCAGCAGCCGCGGCTCGTGGACTCCCAGGTGCGGTACTTCTGGCCCCCTGTTCCGCATATATACATACATACATTCATACCCTGCTTCACAAGCCCCAGGGCCCCTGTCCGAGCCCAGTAGCCCTTATCCCAATAGGCGTAGGTAGGGTTGTGGGACGAGAACGGCAGAACTCAGGAATGACAGGGCTGTGGGGACGCTGTCAGAGTCATCTGGGGCACTATCTGATGACCGCTTCCTTCATTTGTGTGAAAGCTAAAAGCATGACTAGGAAACGTCGGCGCAATATAGCAGTATCGCGTCCTACCGGCTACCTGGACTACCTAAAAATATATACATGCATCACACACCTTGCGACACCGCAATCTTTGGATGGTTCCTGGTCTCTAACGGGAAGATGCAGTTGTTTTCGCGCGCGACCCAGATCAAATTTTGTGCTCCCACTTCCCGTGGTGGGTTCACGGCTCTAGCGTGTGTGCGTCCCGCTTCTCCTCATTTGCTGAACAGGGGCGCAACATCCTCTGTGGCCCGGACGTAAGCCCCGATGGGTGCATCTACGCAACCCCCCTGGAAAAGGTGCGACAGGTGCTCGCAGAGGAACTGAATCGCTTCCTGGCCTAGTTGCTCCGTGTCCGACCGCTCGACACCACACTTAAAGTGGGGTCTAATATATTGTGATGTACAGTGGTTTGGTAACCTGCATAACGAATATGCTCCACGGCCCGGCTGCCGCGGATTGCACACAAACCACCTTTTTCTTTACAAGAAAAACCATTTTTTCCTTTCCGACACGTCGTCTCAACGTGTCTCACCCACCCCTTCTGCTGTGTTTTCCCATCTGCCAACCTCGTCATCCGTCGCAGAACGGCATCGCGCATCTGAACAATTTTTGCCTGATGTATCCGTACAATGGCCAAGCCGATGCCAGCTCCACGCCCGCCAGCGGCAGCAGCAGCGCCCTGGACCAGCAGGCGGCTGCGCAGCAATCGCTGTCGTCGTCAGGTAGCCGGGGCGCAGGGAAGCTGCAGGCCACACGGCGGCTTAGGGACATGCTGGCAGGGCAGGGCGCCACCCGCGCCAGTGGCGGCGGCGGCGGCGGTGGCGGTGGCGGGGCCCTGGGCAATGGAAGCGAGGTCATGCAGGACTCCAGTGACGCTTTACATTCCAATGGGGAACTGTGTTTGCTGGTGCAGCTGCTGCGGCGAGATGCTAGGCAACCGGGACGGTGGTTTGCGTACGACATGCCGCACCTTATCTCCCGGCCGTTCAAGGTGGGTCCGTTCATGGTCGTGTGTGGGTCGTGTATCCCCCCCGGGTGCGGGTGCGGCTGCGGCTGCAGCTCAGATGGCCATCAGGCGCTCCGGTCTTTGCAGCCGCATAGGCGCACTCTATTATGAGACCGGGATCACCCTTGCCATCGTTGCGGTAGCCGTGGCGTGCTGTGCATGCTGCGTGCTGTGGGCCGGAGGCCCCCCCATGCCGCAGAGGCTCCCGGGGTATGTCTGGCGAGGGGGCGGCGGCGGCGATGGGGGAAAAAGCCTTGCCGGCCTTGCACATGGTTGCCAGCCTTGCCAGCATCGTAACGGTGATGAGCGGCGACTTGATCGACCTAACTCGCATGGAGGGGCAAAGCTCCAAACCGCAGCCACGGGTAATGAGCATTCTGCGTCACCGACCCGAGCATCACGATCTCTTCCTCGACCGCACTTTCCTTCCCCCCACCCCCCGCCGGCCCTCAAACACCTTCCCCTATCACCCTCATCGCGCAGGTCGTCCCTCGCAGCACACTGCCAGCGACGCCACAAACTCTGGGCGGCTCCTCCGTCTCGTCCGTATCCCTAGCGCCAGGACAAGAACCTAGCTTGCCGCTGAGCCGCGGGCTCTCCTTGCCAGCTCCCCATCCGGTCCTTCCCGGCCTGGTCGGCCTCGGCTCAGGCATTGTCAGGACTGAGCAGCTGCTCAGGCCGCAGCCACAGCCTTTCGTCAGCCCACAGTACACTCACAGTGCCGCCACCGCCGCCGCCGCCGTCGGCGGCTTTGGATCCGTCGTAATGACGGCGGGGCTGGCGGCGGCGTACGACGCCGTTGCGCCGGGGATCCCTTGCGACCTGGGGCCGGGTGGGGTGGGTTCGCCGATGTTGTCACCGCAGGGCGGCGGCACGATGGTTTACATGGGCCGTGCAGATGCTTCCGGGTTTGTGAGCGCGAACCTGGGGGTGGGCATGGGGCCGAGTAGGGGGGCGGTGTCGGCGCCCACAGGCGTTATGATGGCCCCTGGGTGCTCGGTGGTGGGCGGGGCGGCTGGCTTGGGCTTGGGCATCGGCGGCGAGCGCAGCGGCTTGCAGTCGTCTCTGTCGGCTGACTCGCCGACAGCAGGTGGATCACAGCGTGGTTCGAGTGAGTAGTTACGGCGGCGGTGGACATGGGGGCTTTGGTTGTCTGTGGGGGATGGGGTAGGGGGCGGGGTAAGAGGGGTAAAAGGGGGAGCCGACGTGAGGTGTGGCGTGTCTGCGAGGAGGAAGCCCGGGCAGCAAGGACGTAACATACATAACATTACATAACATACATAACATACATAACATACATAACATACATAACATACAACATAACATAAAAACATACATACATACATACCATGGACACCCCCTGCATCCACACGACGTCACACTTACCCGCTCCTGCTGCTGCTGCTCCGCGGCCACCCATCACTATACACCTGCCGGCTACCTGGATACGACCACTTCACGGAACCATTTCATTTACACACACATACACACACACACACACACACACACCCCTTCCCCCGCGACTCCCTTACCCGACCTCACCGCCCCGATTCACAGAGGCGCGCCGGCGCTCCAAGGCGCTTTCTAAGGACTCGTCCCTCGACGACGGCAGCATGCCCATGACCACCAGCGGCGGCACCACCGCCGGAGTGACCGCCCTCCGGACGCCCAGTGTCACTTCGGGAATGAAGCCGCCGCCGGCCGCCATGCAACCTGGCACGCCGCTGGCGGCAGCACCTGCTGCCGCTGCTGCTGCTTCTGCTGCTGCTGCTGCTTCTGCTGCTGGGGGTATGGGCGATCTAGGGGCCCTCGTTGCATCGGGGCCGTCGTCCCCCTTCTCTCCATCCGCCCGCGGTGTGCATGCCGCCAGTACCGGCCCCGGCTGGGGTCTGGGTCAGCTGGCGGGGCTAACCCTGGACCGCGTGCCGTCGCTGTGCGACTCGGAGGTGGCCCGGAACTCGCTGCCGCTGCGGGGGGCACCTTCCGCGACACTGATGGACATGAACATCTCGGTGGGTGGGTGGGTGGGTGGGCGGGTGTTGGGAGTGAGTGAGTGAGTGAGTGAGTGAATGTCGCGGTATTGTTGGGGGAAAGAAGAAGGAGAAGAAGAAGAAGAAGGTCCCGTGGACGACTTGGCGGCGAAGCTGTGTTATTTTGCAAGCAGGTCTCTCGCTTGAATTGGCCTTTTACCTAAAGGTTGCAGGGACTATCCGAAATATTCAAAATATTCGAAATATTCGAAATATCCGAAATATCCGAAATATCCGAAATATCCGAAATATCCGAAATATTCGAAATATTCGAAATATCCGAAATATTCGAAATATTCGAAATATCCGAAATATCCGAAATATTCCGCTACATCGCACGAAAGTGGTGATTGCGGTGGTGTCCTAACCCCAATCGCCACGCAGGACTTGCTCAATGACATCCAGCCTCAACCGCTCCATGCCGATGATGTGAGTGTCGCTCGCTCCGAGGGGTTCTGGCCTGAGCGGGGGGCAGCTTGGAGGGGAGGTTGCTCATCTAGACCAAATTGAGTAAATTGCGTAATGTATCACGCGGCGATATGCAGTACTGGAGCCCGGGGATTTGAGGTTTAACTGTTGGTTCGATGTTCACGCAATTCCATTCCTTTCCATGTGTGTGTGTGTGTATGTGTGTGTGTGTGTGTGTTATATGTGGTCGTGGGGATGCGTACCCCGTACCTGCAAACCGCCCAATACGAGCCGAGGGCTCAAGGGCTGCCAGATCGCCTATGAGCACCATCCTACCTCGCACTTCAACAAAGCAAGTGATAAAGGGGAGACTAACGACCAAAGGGAACGATAGGGTTGCGGTGGTGGGAACATATACGTTCCAGCATCTTCGCCAGACGTTCAGGTTCCCACTTCATAGCGTCCTTCACATGCTCAAAAGCGTGGGGAATACATACCAGATCTGATTTCCCTGATTACACCGGACAGTCCAGCAAGACGTGCCCCTCATCTTTATGTGGTGGTATGGTGCGGGGGAATGATGCAGATGATGGAGCTCGAAGAAGGCGCCGCCAAGCGCGTCCGCGCGGACGTCACCGGCACCCCCTCGGACCTGGCTGGGGACTTCTTGCAACAGGAGGAGGACAACAGCAGCCGCAGACACCTCGTTGACTACCACAACCGCGCCAGCCAGCTGCCGGCGGTTTCGCCCCGGTCTGTCGTACTCCCGGCACAGGAGGTGGAGGCGTACCTCAGCACCGGTGACGATTACAGTGGCGGCCGCAACATCATGGAGCTTGCGATGATGGGCTGCGGTGCCGGAGGCGGAGGGGGAGGGGGAGGCGGAGGGGGAGGGGGAGGCAGCCATTGCGACAACGCAGCCCCGGATGGCGCCAATGGCCAACCAGTACGTACCGACAGCTGGTCGGCGGAGATTTCGCAAGAGCAGTTTCTGAGCTTGCGGAAGCAGGTCAGTGCTACAGGGACTACATACATACATACATACATACATACATACATACATACATACATACATACATACATACATACATACATACATACATACATACATACATACATACATACATACATACATGACGGACTTGAGAAGAACAGAGATAAGAGAGATTATCCGTGATAACGAAGGAAAACGGCCCCTCTCTTCCACGGAGGCCGAGATGGCGAGATGGCGGTTCCGGGGGCCCCGTCTGCTCTCCACGTTGGCCACCTCTGAATGAGCAAAGTCCTCCGGGAGATGAGGGGGGATGTTGTGAGGGAGGGAAAGAACTGCCGTGTTGCTGCACGCGTGGAGTGTGTATGTACGGTAGCAGTCATACGTCATCTACACGCGTCCCACGCGTCCTTGTACATGCCATGGCTCTGATGCCGGGGGAGCTGTGCCGCCGACTGGCAGCTGTTCGCGTTTGTCCGTTTCCGGTAAGGCAGCATGACACAACACCGTTCCGCCTCTTCCTTCTCTTCCCTTCCCTTCCCTTCGTGTCCCTCCACTCCCTGTCTCTTCCCAACCCTTCACTTCACGTGATTTCGCTTCACTCCCTGTCTCTTCCCAACTGTTCGGTGTGTCTCGCTGCAGTCTACTGGCTTGTCCGGAACACATGCCAGCGTTGAGGCCACGGTCAACGGGAGCACCTCCATGTTGTGCTCCGGAGCCACATTACCGGCAACCACAACCACCACGACCACAACCACGACAGCATCAGGAGCTTTGGCGATGGCCTTTGGTAGCGGCGGCGGTGGTGGGGGTGGTGCCGCCGGTCCCGGCTGCTCCAGGGTCTCCTCCGCTTCCCAGTTTGACTTGCTGGTTCAACTTCTCGGTCAGCCGGGGGCTATGCAGGACGCCCTGGATCTTATGGAGGAGGAGCAGCAGCAGCAGCAGGACCGCCTGATGCAGTAGCAGCAGTAGCAGCAGGACCGCCTGATGCAGTAGCAGCAGCAGCAGGACCGCCTGATGCAGCAGTAGCAGTAGCAGCAACAGCAGGGGATGCACGCGTATTGCGGCGTGACGCAGGCTCAGCAGCAGATCCGCGGCGTGCAGGACGGTAGCAGACAACTGGCCAGTCGGCGGGACGTGAGGGCGTAGGGGCCGCTTGTTGTTATGGTGGTGTTTTCGACCGGGGAACGGAGCGTTGGAACCGGAGGAGCTGGCGATCATAAAAAAGAGGCGGCGTTTAGTTGGGTGACGTGCGCAACGCGCGACACCGCTGTTTGGTGCTAGTGAAGCAGCAATGGGGAAGGCGCCATTGTGTTTAGTGTCTTGGACACCAAGCGCGAGCGGGGCTTTGGAGCTGTGCGCGCGGTGGGGGATTCGGTGAGGATTCATGTTATGCTTACCGACGGGACTATCAGCATCGGTATACGGAAGGGGGATTATAGTGTTGTGGAGTTAGGATGTGCAGGCCATGCGATTGATTGTCGACCGGCGTTCGTTCGTTCGCCACCGCGTGGTTCCGTAAAGTAAAAGAAAAAGAGTTATGAGACTCGCGCGCGAGGGCGCCGCGCCTGCAGGATGCAGGATGCGCCGTCGCGCACGACGGGCAGGTGTATATGCAGGGAGCAGCGCGTGTGGCGCTATACGGGCCAATAGTGGCGGTGTTTTTGGATTTTTGATATACTGGTGGTGGCGGCGGCGGTTTAGGCGGAGATCTAGCTCCCAACGGGAAATTACGATGCAGGTGCGCTAGCTAATATTCGTGAACTGAACTGAACTGGCGGCCTCGGTCGTTTTGGCTGTCCAGGACCGGGATCGGTGATGGGCGATGGGTGGGCGGCCGGGTGGGGTGGGCGTTGTGAGGTGTTGTGTCGGTGCGCATGTAGTACGTGTTGCAAAAAGGCAGCTTGGGGCTCCGAGGGTGAACAGTTTTCTTTTTCAAAAGGAGAAGTCGTTCGCATGCACGTAAAGCCTGTTCTTGCCGGTTGTGGGTAGGTAGGTATAGGTAGGTAGGTAGGTTAGGTACCGCAGATCCTTACCAATCTTACTCAACAACATCTGCAGGCAACTTCTAGCCTTCACACCGGCGCTTCAGCACTCTTGCCCGGGATTGACGCTTTCCATTCGATATCATCACTCCGTACACATGCGGACTTTGTCATTTGTCGTACGTGCTTGATCGGTTCGGTAGAAACACAGCAGGGGTTCCCTACGTAGCTGTGGATGTGTACGCAAGTAAAATGTTTGTTTGGTGTGGTGGTTGAGGCCTGAGCTTAGCGGACCGGACCCACGAGCGCGACTATACATTATTACACGAACATCGTCCGCAGCTAATATTTCCCGGTCCTCAGCTTCTGCCTGCCGGCGAAGGGATCTGGTAGTCGCAGCCGGTATATGCCCAGTAAGGGTGGACGCGCGATAGAGGGGGATGGCGGGCATGGAGTGCCGTACTTGCGGGCTTCTGGAAAGCGCCGTGATACGCGTGCTAAGTAGCATTGGTTGCAGTGACGGGCGGTGGATGGGTTGCATATAATCACATATATATTTAACTCTCCACAAGCAAGATTTTTACGTACATGTATTTACACTGCGGATTTGCTGAAGATGCAGATTAAGGTTTAGGTTTTAGGTTTTTGCTTGCTTGTTTTTTTATTTTGTGGATGAAGAGCATGCCGGAAAACTTTAGTTTGGCGATGAAGGTGCATGGCTAACATTTTTGAGCCTGTTGTTGTTGCGCCGTCCCGGGGGCATCAGCAGGATGTGGCAAGGGTGGTGGTGTGTCAACATGCGGTGTCTTGTATGTGTGCGTGTGTGTGTGTGTGAGGTGGGAGATGTTGTTGGCCATCCTGTACTCGCCGGATTTCCCCTTTAAGTCGACCACTATAAGAGGGGGGAAGTTGCATTCACTGGGCGATGCGATTCATCCTGTCCGGACGCCTACACACAAACTACCTGCCTTCACACAAATTACTAACCGCATGCCAACCTATCGGATGGGCATGTAGGTCTGTATGTCTCACACATATACGGTTCACACGCTGGAGGGAGGTGGGAGGTTCAGGTGACCTATTCATTGTGCTGCGCGGACATGCCGTGGCTTGGGTTCGTCGTCATCATAAAGCTGGACTGGAACTTTATGGTTGTTAACACGCGTTTGGCACACCCGGTGCGACGTCGTGCGGATGTCGGTACCAGCCCTGCAGTGGCGCATGAGCACTCTGTTCATCAAATTTCTGGTTGTGGAGCTTAGATGGCCCGAACGAGTAGAACACTGCAAGCGCATCTGGGGACCGAGGGCCGCTGTGATGAGGGGGTAATCCCCCGATGCGCTAATGTCCCTTACACAGGGCCATGCTGTCATTCAGGTCTTTCTGCAGCGGCTGTGGTGAGTTTGTTTTGGCACATTTTCACCACGGGCTTGGGGGAATGTCCATCATGGAAAAAAACAAATTTATGTCGTCAAGTAGGACATGCGGGGAGATGTCGCTTATCTGCGGGAGAAGGGATTTGGATTATAGAGGTGTAAGCCACGCGGCTACGGGAGGGAAATGGAAAGGAGACATGCTACCTAAGATCAGAGTTTGGGGTCCCCGGCGAGCCGCCGTATTATCATCTAACGGATGCTTGCGAGCCCCTTGTTGGCATTATTGGGCCTGTCCAAGATCCTGTTCCGCGGAGGCTGTTTGTTGTGTTGTGAGTGTGTACCGGTACTGTGAAGTATGTATGGGTTGCTTGAGGACTCTCGGCGCAAATTGACTTTAGCGGGAACGTTGGTTGAATTGAACGTTGACTTTTGCGGGAACCAACCTTACTGCGCTCCTCCGTCAGGTGTTATTTTTGTCTGCCGGTTTTTGCAGCCGAAACCCCTTCGGAGGCATGTGTTGGGTCCGCGTATGGTTTAATACTTCTGATGTCGCGTTTCTGTTACAATAATAGGAGTAAAAGCATTTATGCCGTATGACGTTTATTCATTGTGCATTCATGACTTGCTTGTTTTGCATAGAGTACCTTTCGGATCCCATGGCCCTGATTGCCTGTGACCGAGTTAAAGGAACGATTTGCTGCGAGTGGTGGTGGTGGTGGTGGTGGTGGTGGTGGTGGTGGTGGTATGCCAAATCGTTTTACCCCTTCCCACGGGTGTTCCGAGTTGGGTAAGATAGTACACGCGGGGGCCACACGGGCCAACGGATGAGTTGCAGGCGTGGGTTAGTACGCACTTTTCCGGTATGCTTAATGGAACAGACTTTTTCATCATCTGTTTTTCTTTAATGAAGTCTTGGCTGCAGCGCTTTGGTCAACGCAAATCCCCTGCTCTCTGGCGCTGCTGCGCGTGTGAAGGGCTTGGTTGGGGTTACGAGCACGCGGTCCATCAATTAGCGAGCAGCTACGCCAACGCGACGCATCTTCACGATGCCGCCGCAGCCATAACGGACAACACTTGACGATGTTGCAGATATATTTTCACAAGGCGCACATCTTGTCAGCTGCTTTTCTGCGCTTAGCTCCAGCAGTTAATTTAATAATTTTTATTAGCATGTCCTTTATGGCCATGACTGTTTCTCATTGATAGCTCCCTCCCTCCGGAAGTTTCAGAGGAGCCAGAGGAGGTTACAGTGAGGCCGCTTGGAACACCGCGGTTATTAGTTAGGACGACTTGGGGACGTAATGATGTTCAAAAACTTCAGGTTTTGCATGCGGACAGTCCCCAATTCTCTCGCGGCTGCACCACCGGATTGACAACTCTGACCGAAACTCAAAGTACGAATAACCTTATTACCTGAGTTTCATGTATTTTTAATGCAAGGCGACCGTTATTGGCGTCGTGTACGGCTGTCGTGGCGGAAATGTCGCCTCACTCGCTCATCGCAATTACGTCTGTTCGTTTCTAAAATATACTTTGCTTTAGCAACTTTGGGTATTCTGCGGCAATATTCGGTGTAACATTAGACTGTTTCCCGACACTGTACACAATGCTGCCGGTGTTGCTTGGTGCTACACGCCGGGGGGCTCAGCTGCAGCAGACGGGCATCCTCTCCGCGCTCTTCAGCACCACCAGCGGAAGCCTGAACTCTGCGGCCGCTGCAACTGCTGCGAGTCAACAACCGGCGGCAAAGGCTCCACTGTCGAAGCCACCGCTCTACAAAGAATTCCAAATTTACCGCTGGAATCCGAACGGCGATGAAAAGCCAAAGTATGTTTCATACCAGGTTGACATCAACAACTGCGGGCCAATGATGCTGGATGTGCTCCTTAAAATTAAGGATGAACAGGACCAGACCCTATCCTTGCGGCGGTCTTGTCGGTAAGCGCTTGTGTGATTAAGACAGACGTAAAATGTCATAATGCCATGGATAGATGCATTCAGTTGTTTTCCGACATCCAAAAGCGGCAACAGAATGAGCTGACGTTGAAACGGCCAACTCGTGACGCAGGGAGGGTATCTGCGGCTCTTGTGCTATGAACATCGACGGTACCAACACGCTTGCGTGCCTTTGTAAGGTCAACCGAGACCCGGGGCACGTGGGCAAGGTCGCTCCCCTGCCGCACATGTTCGTGGTGAAGGACTTAGTGGTGGACATGTCAAACTTTTACGCGCAGTACAAGTCAATTAAGCCCTACTTGCAAAAGAAAGAAGCATCAAGGTGAGGCAGTGGCTTGCTGCTATCACAGCCACCCTGCATCTTGTCAGGGTTTACCTCGTTTATTTCCGGGCATCCACGTCAAGCGTGAACACTCGTCTGCCAGTGCCTGGGAAGTGGGAGCCTAAGTACTCCCATCTTCGCTGGGTAGGATGACTCACGCTGAATGGGGGCCATGTTACGGTGCTTGTTACGGTGCGCCGGGCGACAGGCCGCCATTCATCAATCCACGTCGTGACCTGCGTAAACCTGCGAACTGGCTGAACTAAAAACTGGGTTAAGCGCCCCTAGCTATTTGCCTATTCCGACACTGTAGAAACCTGCTGGGGCCACCTGAGTGGGGGAATGCTTGATCACACCAAATTACCTATACACCAGAGGGTTTGAGAGTTGGGAACCCAGGGCGACCCAGATGGGCCCAGATTAAGATAAACTTCCGAGGTGAAGTCCCGGGGCCCTATAACCACAACGCCCTTGCTCCTGCCCAGCTGCATGCCCGTGGTTAAGCGGTGCACGCGACCCACATCCCCAATCTCCGTCCCACGCCCCTCTACACCTTCGCTACTGCTCTGTCATATGGCTTATCCGTGCTTGTCCTGTCCCTCCCTCCTTGCCTCCCCTGTCTTGTCGCACGCCGCACGTTCTGGTCTGCCGTACCCGCCCCGCAGCGGCAAGGAGTGGTACCAGTCGAAGGAGAGCCGCGCAAAGCTGGACGGCATGTACGAGTGCATCCTGTGCGCCTGCTGCTCAACATCCTGCCCGTCCTATTGGTGGAACAGCGACAAGTACCTGGGGCCCGCTGTGTTGCTGGCGGCGTACAGGTGCGGTGGGTCCTCCCTCGCACGGGCTCCCTCTCAACCTGAGGGGGGGGGCCTTCTGATGTCCCCCTCTGGTGTTACCGCCGTGAGCCGTTGTAGCAGCTACGGTGTTTGAAACGCGACAGCGGTCCAATTCACAAAATGATAGTTTTGCCATGATGATTGCGAACCGCTGTGTTGACCGGCGTGGCAACGTGACTGGCCAGGCTCGCACTTCAGCGGGTGTCAGCGGGGTCCGGGGCTCAGGGTGGATGCGGGTTGCTCCAGAGCCTGGGTCTGGGTTTTTAGGGTTTTAGGGCTTGGAGCTGCTTTTGAAACACCGCGGCTGGGGCGTGACAGACATCACCGGCTCTTCTCGTTCTCAGCTTCAATCCCACAAATTCATGCTAACAGCTTTGCTTAATTATCACACGACGGCCGCATTAGTGATCGTGGTTGAGTCACAAGCTTGGGATATTAGATTTGTGTCTTTTGCCCTCCACGCACGCACCCACCCATCCATCCATTCGTCTGGTACAAAGGTGGATCATTGACAGCCGTGACGACTACACGGCGGAGCGCATGGCCCAGCTGGATGATGCGTACAAGCTGTACCGCTGCAAGACCATTATGAACTGCGCCACCGTGTGCCCTAAGGTACGCGGAAATGCGTGGGTGATGGGTTATTACGAAATGTACGAGATTAGCTCTCATTCCGAAGAATTTATACGAAATGCGGCTTGGGAGAGCTGGGCTTAGAGACGGTTCAAAATTTTTCCCTGACTCCGAGCGCCTTGGCCGCCGGGGCTCTGCTGGAGATGCCCTTTCCATTAGTGTTACCCAAATGTGCACTATGTTCTCACCCGAGTGATCCATCAGTCTGCCAGTTGCTTTCCCAGAGTGTCATGTCTCGGATCTTCTCATCGATGTAGGGTATGAAGGGTACCTTGTCCCGACCCGATCCGGCGTGACCCACATCACCAATTATGCTCGCAATCGTTGGCTACTCCGTGCAGGGCCTCAACCCAGGCAAGGCCATTGCCAAGCTCAAGCAGACCATGCACAAGGGCCAGCCCGTGTAGGGAGAGTGGACGAACACGTATCCCCCCTCCGGTCACTTGACTGCTGCCGCTAAGGCAACGGATTTGAGTGGCGCCTCATATCGTCCCCGCACCTTTAAAATCACAGCGCCGGCCATTGATGACTCGGGTTTCAAATAGGCTGTGCAGGCATTATCGAGGGCTCTTTCGGCACCTGGCGTCCGGGGCTAGTTGCGCGTGTAGCGCCGGCCCACTCTCCCACGGGCCCCATTAGAAATAAAGGGTTATACAGCGCAGTTATACCGATTGGATGTGGAACAGAGCAGCACGGCGCTATCGTCGGCTGTTTACTCGGGTTTCAGGCGCTGTTGGCGCCTGTTGCTGGCACTGCGGTTGCTGCTGCTGTCTTGTGTGCGACGGCTGACCTCTCATTACGTTCACCCGGCGGTCAGATGCCCCACGTTCTGGTCCGAGGTGGCGGAAAGCTTATGTGTTTGTGTGTGTGTGAGTGAGAGTAGGACAGGCAGGTAAGCACTGAGGCAACGCCTTCTTAAGCTGTAGAGTGGAGTATGTATGGATTTGTTTTCCGGCGGTTGTCCCTCTTGAACTGAGAGCAGACAACATGTTCGTATGCGTGCCCTGTGACACTGACTCATGATTAACTCAATCCTGATGAACAGGCACGTAGTTATCCAGTCAAACAGAGTGTTTGTGCCATGTATGCTGATACATGGCTTGCTGGTCGGACAAGGATATTTAGCACACATGTGTTATGTACCCGTGTCGGGGGCCAGTTGGGTGACGCAGGGTTCGACAAGTATAGCCGTTTTGCGCACATGTCCCTTCATCCTAAGGATCCGTTCACAGGCAGCGGCGCTGCTGTTGTATCGCAAGCTCCCGTCTTTTATGAATATTGCACTGCTCTTGCAACTGTTCGCTTGGTGAACATCATCCAGCCAGGCACATGTAAGTAAAGTAAATTGGGGTTTGGTGATAGATGGCAATGCTGAGACTGCTAGTTGATGGCTGGCCGCCACTGGGTACTGGTGGGACCTCCGCTTCGCCGGGTTTGGACAACTAACACTACTGAATACTATAATATTTCCCGGCACGAAAACATTCGCTGCAAAACCTGGACCCACTATCCGTCATGATGAGAGATTAAGAAGTAACTTTGGACGCCGCATGTTACGAATTGTGCGGACGAGACGGGGTAGCAGGAGCCCTTTAGCAGCGCTCCGAGCAGCATGGAGAAACATTACTATCTCTATAGCTTTTTAAAAAGTCAGACGCCCACGACGCAGAGCGTTGCATGCCCAGACACGCCGCTAGGGTGTCCCGTGAGTGACGCGTGAAAATAAGAGGGTCATCGGGAAGATGATGATCTATCCAGCCCCTCTTCCAATTATATGCAGCCCCTCTTCCCTACCATAATGATAGCAATTAATTGAACAGCAAAGCCTGTTCACTAAGTGTAACGGGCCTGAATCAATCACTATTTTGCTATAAGTATAATGCGCACCCTTAAACAATGCAGAAAATAAACGTTCCGCGTATCATAAGCAAGGCATGCAGCCAAGGCGTCCATTCCCACGGCCGCATGTTCCGTCCATGAAGCGGTTATATCCAGCGCCCATTGCCTAATCAGACACTGCATTACGTGGCCGCTTTATCGTGTGCCCACTGCTGTCTTTCAACTTACGACATCTCCATCGACATCACTTCGTTCCCGCAAAGGAACCACTCTTTAAAAAGCCCCGAGGCGAGCGCTCCTCCACACACCCACCACAACCGCCTTGGCGGGTCTGCCAACGGATCCAGACTCCAGCGAAGAAGATAAAGAACCCATGTAGGAAGTTGCCAGCCCTACGTCGCCAAAAATCAATCTCAATGGATACGAAAGAATATATACGGGAAAGAGGAACACACACCTTCAAGTACGCGAGCAACTCACACGGTGCCTGAGCAAAAATGCCATAACGTCAGACGCTGACGTTTTCACGTCCCAGCCGAGGCGTATAACCACGCGTTAGGCGCAGATGCCCTGCCGCCTTATTGATCGCGACCTAGAGACCTGGGACGCTACAGGTGGTGACACTGATACCGCCGACACGGACCTAAGGACGTGGTCGATTCCGCCAACACAACGCTGGGCCTACGCCCTTCAGATGCCCAAACCCATCCGTTCCCCAACGGACTAACATACCCTTCACAATCAGTCGCGCATTTCCCCTTTTATCCCCTTTAGGAGGAAGAAGAAGACGTCATCCCCCATGCACATCTGGTCCCAGAATGAGGATGTTCACACATACAGACCAAAATTTCGAAAGGTGGTTTGCGCACCGGTATCCACGTACATGCATTATTATGCCCAATTTCTTGAGTGTATGCATGCTTACTTCAGTAAGAGGTAGGGTGGACGCAGCACCCAATAGTTCTCGTGCGATACCCCGGCATAGTAGCCCTACCCGAGATTTAGCAACGTTTGCAGCGGCACAGCAGTACCCTTGACTGTAATTTTCTGACCTGGGCGCACCAGCATATCTAAGCAGTCCCATTCCCAGGTTGCCGGTTTGCTGTAGTCTCCTTTGGAGTAACGGCGGATGCTGAGGTACGTTTCCCCGTCCACGGGTATTCGCTCGGAATTGCAGAAAGCGTCCGGCTCCGGTGGGTCTACCACCATGCTGCAGGTCGTGTTACTATTTAATTCAGTCATGACGATATCCAATGCAATTGTAAAGCCGCCACTTGAATTGAAGCCGGCAAGCAGTCCACCGCGCTGAAGTCGCCTCTTCGGAGCCGAGCGCGTATAGACCAGAATGGGTCCTCCGGTAAGATTCTTAACGAAGATGCACCCTAAATTTCTCAACCTGGTGATGAAGTTTACGCTCGACACTGATGTGGCCCTTGTAAAAGCCTGAACGGGACAGCGGGAGCGCTCCTAGGAACAATCTAAAGAAAGAGCACGAGATCAACAAGCAAAGGAATATTGGTACTCGCCTCTTCGTCATCAGATAGAGAAGGTTCTGCAATTGCGATGTCACCGGCAACAAGCTCGTCTGAGGTCATTTGTATAGATTTCACAGGGATAAGCAGTATACCTGCTTATAGAGCTTGGAGGGACTTGGGTTGGTTCGTCAACCTCTAGCTGCTGTGTCATTACCGTACTTTTTACGGTCGGACGGTAGCCCCTTTTTTGTCGTGCTGAAGCTGCACGGAGGCAGAAAGCTTAACATCTTACACCGCAGGGGCAGGAAGACCGTTTCATGATAATGGGGTTTCGGGTTTATGATAACAGGGTTTTGCAAAAGCTGTGTTCCGAGGAGAAGAACCTGTCTGCGCTTCACAGCATCCGGCGCGATATCTGCCAACCAAGCAACCCCATACGACAGCGTACCCTAAGAGATCGACAATATACCGGACCTGCACCGTGCAATCACAAACAGGAAAAAAGCCCTAGGAACTCACCGAACTGACACAACCGTCCTCGAGAAGCCTCAATATTGATCACCAGCACAGCCGACATCCATAAAGCATCATCCAGCACTCCTGCTTTGCAAGAGCATATAGAGCATATACCATGACAGCGCGCACTGACAGCAAAGGGCAGGTGGCAAGCGCACTTCCGTTGGCCCCCTTTGAGCAAACATTTCAGCAAAGCCAAGCGCCACATACACTACATGCCATCGCGCCGGCCCAGGCCGGCCTATGTACTCATCTGCACATCTTTGCAAACGAATACCCGCCTCCATATCCCACTATCACACCGTCCACTCGCAATCCGATCAAAAGCATCACCCCTCTTCCATCTGCCTATACGAGCTGCCCACTGCCGGATGTTCAACAACTCATCACACGCCAGCCGCTCCGGAGACTGCAAGAAGGATGCAAACAGCCTCCGAGGCCCCCGTTTCTTCATGTTTAGCACGACCGAATCCAAAATCTGCCGAATCAGAGCCCAGCCGATATGCAGGTTATCCCTTCAAGCTCGCGTAGCTGGGCGCCTTCTATCCAGATAATAGCCGACAACGATAGCACAACAGATATGCTCTGCATGTAAGCGCTCTTTCGATCCTGAGACAACCAATATACAGTACGGCAGAAGTACGGGAACGAACGATTCAAACCCTAAGTCCCTACAGAAACACAAGGTGCCAACATACCAGACTTACGTACGCGCGCGCTAGAGCTTATAATCCATACCGCTGCCGTACTCCCACGCGTCTAGTAGCCGATTCAGGGCGAACCTTTCACGCGGCGTCAGGACTGCGGCCCCTGACACCGCCGTACGCAGGTCCGCCATCGAAGCCGCGCCGTGAAGGGCGGTGTAGGCAGCCAGGTTGGCCATGTGACTCAGCCACTCCAGAAGCGGCGCAGGGCCCACGTGGCGTATGAGGCTGGGGATGGAGGCCGGGTCGGTTAGAATCTGAGCGGCCATGGTGCGCATCATTGGACCGAATTGAACGACGTCCTACAAGGGGGTCGGCGGGGGACGGGGGAGGGGTGACGGGAGGGGTCAGTGGACAATAACATATTTGACAAGATGAGCTGCTGGCTGTGGGTTTGAAACGTATTGTCATGCAACATCATGCAACATCATTCAGGCAATAACGGAAAGGCAAGCGGCCGTGCCATCGCTCCTTGCCATCGCTGCCCATTGAGAGGACACAGCTCGGCAGGCAGGTAGGTAAGCAGGTAAGCAGGTAGGCAGGTAGGCAGGGTTCTAGGCAAGCAAGTTCACCAATGACCTCACCACGCGTACCGTTGGTGCTCAAGGCCATAACGCAGGAGGACCGGGAGGAGGAGGGGGCGAGGGCCCTCACCGTCCCCACCCCGACCCACCCCGACCCGCCTAGCACAATACAGGCGGTTATCACACATGTACACACATACACACGCACGCTTGCGCATGTCATACCTGCAGAAAGGGCTTCATGACGGGATCGCCCAATCGCTCCATGGCCTTGAAGTTACCCGCCTATTAGTACAGCGACAGCGCGTGGGGGCCGCCAGGTTACACATACATACATACATACATACACACACATGCGCCATGCTCGCCCCCACCTCCTCGCGGGTCAAATCATTTACACACAAACTCACACACACACACACACACACGTACACAGACACGCTGCTCAGATTAATCAAAACAACACAAAGCACTGCTTAGTTTCCCGTGGCGATGTGCAAGCAATCCGCGATATAAGGTGGCTGGTGGAGTGAGTGGTTTACTTTCCGCACTTCCCTTCGATCAATTGGTTGCATTAGGCGCTACGAGTTGCTAGACCTGGATGGATGTCTTGACAGCATGTGCGTGTCTGTCTACTCAGGACACCAACAAACACATTACAGCTTCGCCCTAGTTCATCACCCGTCATCACCCGTCATCTGCATGTCCTTCAACCCTCGTGCCCCCCTTATAGCCTCTTTAACCCCACCTAGTCCATCACGCACTTAATGGCGCTAACCCCACCCACCACCACGCAGTCCTCCACTCGCACACGACAGCAAGAGAAGGATCCCATCCCCCGCACGAGTACATCCACCGTGAGACACACGACATACGACTCTTATCTGTCCCCACACGCACCAGCATGCGGTTGATGAGGTCGGGCGGCGGCTGCTCGCCCCTACGCACGCTCATCGCCTTTTGCATCATCCAGCTACTCGAGAGCCCAGGGTTGTAGGATTGCACGAGGGACAGGGAGCCACGGTCCAGAGCATCTGCCTCAACCGCCTCGGCTGCACACATAATAATAGCGCATGTAGACACCAATGCAGGTATATATATAAATACATATATGAATATATATACATACATATATACCACCATGACCGGTGGCCGCGCAGGCACGCAGCTGGGTTCTTTTGTTTGTATGGACGAATCTTGTTGCGGTGCATTCGAAGATTAAGAAGTCGCGGGTGCTTTGTGCACGGGTTGGTTCTCGTAGCAGTGTTCGACACCCCAGTGCGGTGCGGTGTGGTGGGGTGGGGTGGGGAAGCCAATCAAGAGGTCAGCAATGGTCCACCCACCCACCCAGGGGGGTGGTCAGCAAGGCAGTTCAAAAGAGGCCCTGTCCGGCTAGGCGACATGTGAGATGACGATGACGCGCATGATACGCAGGGTGTATAATCCCTACAAGGCGATGGCGGTGTCCCGTACCAGATGGCGGTGGCGGTGGCGATGGCGGTGGCGGTGGCGGTGGCGGTGGCGGTGGCGGTGGCGCGCAAGGAGGCCTCTCTCACACAGTGTTGGTGTTGGTGTTGCGTGGTGGGGTTCGGTCGCCCAGAATGAGTTTCAGCGCTGGTAGGACCAACACATCAAAACACACAGACACAACAAGCTACACAACCCGGTATGTATACACACGACTTTCCCCCCCCTCGTATTCCTGGAGGGAAGCGGCTCTCACTCACTCACTCACTCACTCAGGGCGAGAACTCACTCAGCGCGGCAGTTAATCGGGCCAGGTGACGTGTCAACGCTCCGAAACCACCAAACGACAGTGGCGATTGCAGCCCACTGGCATCACCAATTTGAATTACCCTGCGAGATATTCAGCCGGCCAGTCGGTGAGTCGGTGAGTCGGTCGGCCAGTCGGTCGGGCCGTGAAGCCGTCAGGAAGGGAGGGGAGGCCAGCAGCGAACAAAACGTACATACGTTGAAGCGGATACAGAGTGTGAGAGCTAACCCTGCATAGTCGGCTAACATACCATTGTGCCCGCCACGCACCACGCAGCAGCAGCTGCTGCTTCAAGTCCTGCAGCACAACCCACATGCCTACCTACCTACCTACCTACCTACCTACCTGTCGTACGCTGGCCTCAAAGGCGTATCCTTGAAGGTTGGGAACATGCCAAAGAGCACCCGCTTGAAAGTGATGTCCTCCAGCCGTACGCCCTGTACGGCGCCAAAGAATCGGAGATCGGGAACGGCAGTAGTTGGCATTTGGCGGTTGGTTTCGGAGTCAGTCAGAGTCCCGAGTCAATAAGATTGGGACCCCATGCGCTGGTACCGTCAGGACTTGCACCTCCAGTCGGGCCAGCTAACCCAGTACCGGCGTCCCCCCCTCCCCTCCCCTCCCCTCCCCTCACCTGGTACTGCGGCATGAGGCGCCAGTAGTCCTCCATCATGGCAGCCAGGGGCGGCCGGTAGTCGTCCGCGGTGAGGTAGGTGAACATGTAAGTGGTGCGGTCGGTCGGGCCCGACGCCGCCGGAAAGGCCTCCCAGAAGTATTGCGCCCTGGACAGGGGTGGAGTGAAGTGGAGTGGAGTGGAGTTGCTGAATTAAGTCAACACTAAGGGCACAACAAAAGTCTCCCCACCCCCCCGAAAAAATCGACAGCTTCCCACAACATAGCTACATTTTATCTTTTGCCTATATCAACTTATCCACCACCTTATCGAAGGATTCCTAGCAGCTGTAAACACCCCCCCGCGGCAGATGTTTCATTCAGCACTCCACCACTCACAAGTTAAACTTGGCGTCCTCGGGCTGCAACGGCGTGCTGGTTAGGATGACATCCGCGGTGGTGTTGTTGGTGAAGCCGCTGCCCATAGTCCCCACCACCAGACATACGCCGTCCGGCTTGGCACCCCTGCGCACCTGCGGACAGTGCTCAGTGGGAGAGCACAATGGTTTGTGGCGTAGAGCGAAATTGTATATGGCCGCGCCATATCGCAGCAGAGTGATTGAGGGGTCTGGGGTGTACTGTGGTGAGGAGTGCGAGGCTACGTGCCAGTGAGACAGTCACTGCTGCGCGGCCGTAGATCGCAGTTCACGATCATACATCGAGTTGTCCGGGCAGATCCCCCGAATATGAGCGAATAAAGCCACGTACCGTGTGTAATGAATCATGCGTACCTAGGTTCGGTTAATTAGGCAACCAGGTAGGCAGCTGCGAGACAGATATCGTCGCGGTAATCGGACCAGGCAATGAACCGACGTGCGAGTGCGTGTGAGGAGAAAGGCAGGCTTGACCTGCATCGCCCCGCCAGAGCCCCTTCAAGGTCCCATCAATATGCGGTACCACAGCGCGATGCCGGGAAGCGCCCGTAGAAACGGACGGACGTAAAAACGACAGTGCGGCGGCTCAGTGATTCGTGTTCGTGGGACCCACGTGGGTGCAAACGGATCGCGGCGGATACGGCTCCTTCTCTCCCCCCCGCATACGCACCTGTCGTACAATCGGGCTGAAATGACCCATGCAGTCGACCACGAGACGCGCTGTGACGGTGGCGGCGGCTGGCGACCCGTCGTCGTCGTCGTCGCGCCTCGTGGAGAGGCTGCAGCCGTTACGGTGCACCTGAATGCCTGCCGGGAGCGGACGGGAGGGCAGGCCGCCGGCACTTAGTTGGTTTACACAAGTCATTGTACAGCAATTATGTAATATATTAGCTGCCTGGGATCCGGCAATCATTAATATTGTATGATGTGTGAAACTACTTGAGGTGCTCACTGGCAAGGACATGAAAGACTCCCTCACACCCGCATCCTGCAAAAATAAACAAACATGCCCAGCCAAGATAGGGGATATACACACCGGGCGGCCACACCTTCGAGTGCCGTACGCTCCAGAACCACGCCGCCTTGCTCCTCCAACTTTCGGCGCATAAGGCCCACCAGCGCGTTGGGGCTCACTCCCAGGTTGAGGATGTCGCGCGTCCAAACTTCACTCAGGCCGCTTCTGTTGCCGCTGCTTCCGCTTCCGTTTCCGCTTCCACCGCCGCGCTCCGGTTCCCAGGCGAACCCCACTCGGACTGGGTTGAACTGCCAAGGAGCGCGCAATGCGGGGGCGTGTGCCGCAAAATGTAATATGCAAGAAAAGAGAGAGAGAGAGAGAGAGAGAGAGAGGGAGGGAGGGGGAGGGAGAGGGAGGGGGAAGGAGAGAGAGAGAGGGGGAAGGAGAGAGAGAGAGGGAGGGAGGGAGAGAGGGAGGGAGAGAGACAGAGGGAGAGAGAGAAAAAAAGATATCAATGGAAAGGCAGTGGGAGCCATGTTTTCCAAACAGCGTTACGCGGAAAAGCACTATACATATCCGCTAGTATTTGTAGCCCTAATATATGTGTGTCTGCGTGCGAGGAAGATAAACATACTCGATTGCGTTGCCCAGAGAGATGTGACGATGGCCAAAGAACAGGAAAAAAATAAAAGCAAGCCGATGGGAATGCTGGGGCGCTCAGACAGGGAGACTCCCGGGGTCAGTACCTGGCAGCAGCCGTCACCAGAATGCGTTAACGGCCAAGGCCTCTTCAATGCCGTACATACTGCACAACTTCCGTACCTCAATTGCGACGCAGGCTTCCAGCTCCTCACGCGTCGCCACACCAACGCTCTCCAACTCCAGGAGCTCCTGTAATAGAGGTTGAGGGGTTGCCCAGACAAACACCACCAGTACGGCCACCATCACCACCAGTACGGCCACCAGCGGGGGCCATTAGCCGGGGTTCGTATCCGTAGGTTGAGGGCAGTTGTTCCCCATCAGTACCTAGATACCTGGTTTCGCTTCCACCCTTGTTAGCTTGCCAACCTGCACGCAGAGCCGACCTACATACATACGTCTGTACATCCCGCCGGCCATTTGGCCCCTGGTCCCTCCGTTTCCTCCATTCGGCCTCCCCTTTTTATCCCCCGGACTGGTTGGCTGCCTGACCGACGGGTGTCCTTCTTTTCTGCTCCCAGACGTCCATTGGCCGCAGGTACACAGCCCCCGAGCCGGCTTCCCTGCTATAAAGCTACGCAAGTACCGCACCGCTTAAGCTGTGCACGTCTGCAGGGGCTAGGTGATTCACAGACTGTGCACAGCCTAGCTGCCGGCGAGCGCGTCCGCGCACCTTCCTGCTGATGTTCCATTCCTGTGCTCGGCCTCGTAACGGCCCCCGCTCCAGAACCGCCACTCGGAGGCCTCGGAGAGCCAGAGCGGCAGCGGCGAAGATGCCTGCGTTGCGTGGCAAGCGTTGCAGTATTGCAGGCATTTAAACCGCAGATGTAGGCAGCAAGTTGGAGTTGGGCACATGGACGCAGTTGGACACATGGACACGCACTTGCAGGCCATGGGCTGCGTACGGACGAGGCAAACCTCGTTCTAAGGGCGCTCAACGAAACCTTGTTTGTCAACGAACCGCTTGCGCCAAACTCTCACAACAGTTTGACGTCAAGTTTGTCATAACATCAATTATCGTGGAATCTCTGCACGAATCTCTGCGAGCGACCCACAGGTCACCCACCGAGAGTGCCTCCACACACCACCACGTCGAATTCGGGAGATGTCTGAAGCGGCTCCGAAGACTCGGAAATGAATTTCGGAGCTGCTGGCCCGGAAGGGGTTCCCGTCTGGGGTGGTGGTGGGAGGTGGCCGGTGCGAGGGAGAATTTACCTCGGGCGAGTGGAAGTGCGTGAGGAGCGTCAAAAACTCAGCATTAACGTGCTTCGTGTATACAGCCGCTACGCTGACCGCCGCTACTCCTCCCTCATTTTATAAGTTTGAAAAAACATACGTGCTGACACCGTCGAGAAGAGGATAATGTTTCTGAGATGTAATAGAAGCTATGGGTGGCGCCACAGATGGCGCCAGCGTGCTAGGGTAAGTACGCCTCTCTCACCCGTAGCCGGGCCCATTGCTCCTCCGCTGCAAGGAAAGCGGCATAGGTGGTTCGCCCCCCAGCGCCTTGCGCCTGTGCATCTGCCTCTAACGCATCCACTTGTGCAAAGATGCGTTCCGTGAGAGATGGAGTCTCCGCCAACCCGGCGGCAGTGGATTTGCGCCACACGACGCGTGTGCGTGCAGGGCTATGTCCCTGTGGAAGTTGAGAGCCCGCTCAAAGTCGCTTTAGGAGGATGCGATCATGGTTTAAACCAAGCACTCTTACTGAAAATGCATGGAACGGTCGGATGGCGCGATGCGAAATGTCTCTGCAAGGATAGTGGCCAACTCGTTGAAGCGCTGGTTGCGCTCTTGGAACGAGTAACCCGTAATTCATGAAACAGTACTTAAAAAAATGAGGGAAGGAAAGTTGGCTGAGCTCTGAGCTTGCAGAATCAAATACCAGCGTCGCAATACGCCGCTTGCGAAGTAATATACATAGAAATCAATGTTTAAACCTAATGTCCGTAACGGGATGTATTCTGTTTAGAGTCTCAAATGGCATTAGTAACGGTTGGTGGTTTCAAAGTTTCCGATGTCCCAAGGCACGGGAGATAGATACGCAGCTCGCGAAGCTGAGAGCTCAAAGTCCCTCTGCTGCCCGCGATTACTTATTAACGATGGCAATCGAGGCTCAAGCCTAGTTATTTTCCAATCACCTAACAACAGCTGGGCTTCCTTGTCCTTTGCTTTGCTCATCTCCTTAGAAGATTACCACCACCGGCTATTTGCTTTCATTTCAGGGCAGCAGGCACTTGGAGCCTCAAAGCGACAGGGACGTAAAATAACCTTACAAGACACGTCCGCACCATCATAACCTGCGTCCTGAAATTCCACAGCCGGCAAAGGCGGACGCGTATTCTCCGCATGTAACCTTCGCATTCCCCCTGACTTGCAAAACACGTTAAGAAACCCAAACACCACGGCGCGTGCCGTCCCAACCCCTGGTCCATGCAAAAATGGGGTTTGAGATCAGCAGCACTGCAGCAGACACATCAAGTTCACCGACATAATCCAATCCATGCCTCGCCGGGTGTAGCCGGACACCAGTACGTCGAGGACCCCTACATGCGAGAACAAATATCATCATTACCTCCGCATACGGTGCGACGAGCATGCATGATACGAGGAGCTCGCTAAGGGGGAAAGCTACAGGTCATGACTACGACAACAAGCTCTTGGGTGCGCCTCTCTCCCCGTGTCACTATCTTGTCAGCCAAAACTCGCCAGGGTTCCAAACGAACCGGCTCACAGACGCCAGCCACTCGTCCCAAAGCTTCAGGTAATAACACGTCAAGTAGAGCACGCGTCGTCCGTAAACCTGTGCTATATGTCTGCCCAGTGGCTCAGATTGCTGTTGTCCCAACAACACTGTGAAGGCCCTCCAGGCTTTAGATCCGGAACGTTGCTTACACAGCAGCCTCCTCCTTTTGACGCGCGGCACCGCGAGTGTCGCCGACAACCACTGAGCGGATGCCGAAGTCCTTCACCAGCTTGTCGTACACGGACCTGCACCATACACAGGCCAACACTCTTAAGATAACAGAACCTGATAGACATAAAATCGCATTCAAGATGTACGGATGGACAGATATCGTTGCATCCCAGTGCCAACGCCCGGACGACGAATTTGACCCTCATGCCATCATGCGTTAGGTTTGGATATCGTCGTGGCGTCGTTGCCTAACGCATCAATGCAATCCTGCTGGACTGCGTGACCCTGGGAGCGCCTATGGGAGCGCGCGTGGCTGACGGCTAAGTACAATTATTACCTGGTTGGGGCCCCTCCAGGCCCCCCAACTTTGGCAGCCCCACACGGCAGCCCGATACTCTAGCATTGACGTCCGCAAAGGTTTTCGCTCATACTTCTCGCACTAATTTCCGTAACTTAGCCCCATACGTAGGGACACCCGTCTGAAGACTTAACCAACCGAAGCCGTCCGTGTAACAGTGGTGCCATACCTGTCCTCCTTGTAAAGGTACTGCAGGAGGGACTTGCGCTGGCTGAGAATCGCCTCCAGGCCGCGGCGAGCAGCAAAGTCCTTGCGGTTCTGCGCCAAGTGCTTGCTAATTTGGACGATGCGTGCAGTTAGGCGAGCTACCTGGACCTCTGTAGAGCCAGCGTCCGCATCATGGCGCTTAAAGCCCTCCACCTTGCTCAGGTCTATGTTCTCCTTGTTCTTGAACGAATTGCTGCATGGTAAAAAGATTCAGGCGGCGGTGAGGGCCTCCTAAACAATTTAATTTTCGCTCCAGCAAACCTTATCGCAAGGCTCTCACCATACGGCGAGGCGAACGCGGGTGGGCGCTGCCACACGGACGGGCCGGGCCACAGCAGCCTTGCCGAACACGCCTGCAATGAGGCAGGCGCCAATTAAGCAAGCGTCATGTTTAGGAACAATCAGGCAATTACATGGTTCCTGGGAACCGTGTCTTCGTGGCTACTTAATCTGCTAACCTGACTTGCAAACGAGTGCCATGGCTGAACCCGGTGGAGATTAACCAGGGAGGACACGGCGAAAGAAACTCAACAAGCAGATGCAGCTATGGTACTCAAGAGGAACACCAAATTTTGCGCCTGGACCTAAGAGAACGCCACGCCGTACAATATTTTCGTGGTCGCGCCGCCCATGATTCACCATGCCGAAGCCTTGACTCTGTCCGTATTTGTGGTTAAGCCCTTTGTGCCTGCGCTAAAATTTCAATTCTACGCCTAAATTGATAGGTCGTAGACAGCAAGTGAGGCGAGAGCACCATGGCCCTCACTAGCAAGCTCGCTGGGCAGACCAAGTTCACTTCGCAGAGGCGTGATGCAGTTGTAAGTCTCTAACATGTAACTCATAAGATTAAGGTGTCCTAGGGACTATTTTTTCGGCCGCCTGTGTCAACACTTGTGGGCTCCATTTCCTTCACACGGTGCTTGCTCCCTTGCGCAGCGGGTCGCCTTCCAGGGCGTTCGGGTATCAGCACGTGCGCCAGCCGTATCCCGATCCCGGACCGTGGGTCCGGTTGTTTGCCAGGGTGAGGCAGAAGCTCATGCGGGCGAAGTCTTGCCAGGGCATTGCAGGCTGAAGCAAAGTTAGGCTAGGACTGTTGAGGCTTTCCTAAACAAATTGGGATGGTGTTTGAATGTCAAGGGCTGCTGTTGCGAATACTTATGCGCAGCGGCCACCGAATACAAGGGCGACTTGCTCAACAAGTCCTACTACCCCACTCTTGCCGACACGGCAAATGTGAACAAGCGCTGGTACGTGATTGACGCTGAGGGCCAAACGCTTGGTCGCCTTGCCACGCTTGCGGCGACGTACATTCGGTAAGCTCAATTTCATCGCGTTTGCTTCATATCGTGGCCAGCCGTCTGCTGGATATATCGAAGCTTCAACGGCTGCGTGGGTTCTGCAGGGGCAAGCACCTCCCCACGTACACACCATCTATGGACATGGGCGCGTACGTGATTGTGGTTAATGCCGACAAGGTCGTCGTGTCGGGCAAGAAGGCTTCCCAGAAGACCTATTTCCGCCACGTGACTGGGCGGCCAGGCTCCTACACCGTGGAGACCTTCCAGGAGCTCCAAAAGGTGATTTGGGCTCGGGGGAGGGCGGTGAGGGAAATGAATGCACACAGGGTCGATAGCAGATTAATGCAGGACGGCATGCAAACGTAACTTGCGCGTGTTTCCAGAGTCCCCGTTAACGTTATTGCCGGCAGTCCTGACTGAAGCAGCGTTACAGCCTCACAGCCGCCTTATTTCAATGGGATTGGAACCTTCCCGCCTCACCATGCAGAGGCTGCCTGAGCGCATCGTTGAGCGTGCCGTTAAGGGCATGCTGCCCAAGGGGGCGCTGGGCCGCGACATCCGGCTGCATCTGAAGGTTTACAAGGGTTCTAAGCACGAGCACGAGGCGCAGCAGCCCCAGGACATCACTAAGGAGATCAGCATCAAGCCCAAGAATGGGCCTGGCGCGCAACTCCTTGCTGCGAAGAAGGTGGCCTAACCAGGCAGGAGGTCCAACGGCGCACGAGCGGCGGCATGGCGGCGCAGCTAAGGAGGTGTTCTACGGTCGAGATGTGTCATTGGCGGACTTCAGGCATAGTGGCCGATGGGTAGCTCTTGCATAGGCGAGGCGGAGGCTGGAGATGGAGGATTGTGTACGGTGTATTTGCTACATTAGCATGTAGCTAAATTGGGCAGGCTTATTGTTGGGAACTGGCAGGCCTTTATTTGCCCCCTATCCGATTTTTCCCGCGACGGCTCAAGGCGGGTCAGATACCACGTTTGACATACGGGCTTGGCTGTATGGTGATAGTTGGGGTTAAAAAAACTCGGCTTTTGCTCCAAAGGGCTGTCATGCAAATGTAAAGACGCCAAATATATACAGCAAGTATACAATTCGAGATTTTCAGCATCTTGCTCTTATAACTCGTCAGTAGTACATGCTGTGCAAGATGTTGATAGCTATGCCCTTCAACCATGAGAAAATATGTCATTAACGGTTCTGCTAATAGTCAGAAATGCAACCACAGCCACTTGCAGAGACAGTCAAGTTTTTTTCTGTACACCGTTCCAGTGCCAATGTTGTGACAACCTCACTCAATCAAGACGGCCCCAAACGAGCCTACAAATACATACAAGCAGTTGTCCCAAACGCGCACACGAGAATTCCCCTATCCTGAGCAGTTCAAAAATATAAACGACCCCCCGATTCTGTAACTGCAAGCGAACACATATACCTGCAACAGCATGCTAGACCTTCACAACGTGCTGTGCCCGTGCGCCAAACCAGCCTTCGGCCATTCAGTACGTAAAGGCTCCAAGCACGCTCCCCACAACTAGCCCCACACCACATGTTCTTACTGGATGCATCACATAAGTACAGAGCCCGGGACTCGCCGCAGCGCCCCCTACATATCCTACTTATCGCCCGGCTGTTGTTGCTGCTGTTGCTGGAGCAGCAAACTCAGGTTCAGCGTTGCCCGTGGTCCCAGGCTTGCCAGCTGATCCCCAAATGTAGACCCCAGCCAGGTGCCTGTTCCCGCGGCCGCCGTGCTCGGATGCAAGCTAATGTACTGTGCGCCCGCGGAGGAACCCCCAAGCCCCGCCTCCTGACTAGACGCAAGCAACCGTTCCAGGCTTGCGAAGCTCCCTCCCGCAAGCCCAAACATGCCGCCGCCCTGCCCCTGTGCAACCAAGCCGCGACCTCCTCCCAGGGAGGATATAAGGTCCGCAATGGTGACGGCCTGTCCCTGCGTGCCGACCATCACCTGGGACGGCAACGACGCGCCCAGCGGAATGCGAGGAACACCCCCATTTCCCCCACCGTTTCCCGCCTCTTGCTGCTGCTGCTGCTGTTGTTGCTGCGTACTTGCAGGCGCAGATTGCAAGGGCATGAGCCGCAACAAGTTTGGCCCCAAGACACTGCCACTTCCGCCGCTGCAACCGCCGCCGCCGCCACCGCCGCCGCCCCCCGCATTCCCGCCACCGGCGCCTGGTAGCACTTGCAGCCCGCCGGCTAGAGACCCAAGGTTCAGGACCGGGTTTGCCGCCTGCGGTGCGCTTCTTTGCTGCTGTTCCCGGCCACGCGACTCGCGCACTTGCTGATACCCGACGGAACGTAGCCCTGCCGTTCCGACAGGTTTCACTTTTGCTGCCTGTTGTTGCTGCAGATGCAAGAGCTGTGTTACTTGTTCTTCCCCGAGCAGGAGCCTGCCAGCACAGCCGCTGTCGCCGCCTGTTCGACCGCCCACCGCCAAACCGGAAGGCAGTCCCAGGTCTAATCCTTGCGGCGACAACTGCTGCTGCTGCTGTACATCCTTACTAACCCGCTTCTGCCGCTTTGGCGCAGGCTCGCCAGCATTGTCATTGAACCCAACATCCGACTGCGTCTTAACGTCGCCTTGTCGGTCCGCCCATAACTCCCTAGGGAGCAGCATGTGTAGGCTGAGCGGGGCGCCCCCACCGCCGCCAGGGCCAGCCTCACCGCTGGCTCTGGCCGCGCGGGCCCCGCCCCCGCCCCCAGCGACAGCTGCGGCAGCTGCGGCCGCCAGAGCCGCCGCCATATCACCCGTGCCACCGGCACCTCCGACTCCACCGAGACCGGCAGTACCGAGACCGGCAGTACCGCCGGTTGTAGCCTCGACTAGAGCGGTTAGAAGCCCTGAAGGGGTAGCCGAACTTCCGGAAGTAGGCACGTCCAGCGCCAGCGTCAAGGCATGCGAGGGCGCAGCAAGGTCAAGCGCCTGCGACGTCGGCTGCGCGGCTGCTGGACCTCCACCTCCTCCCCCACCGCCAACGGCGTATTGGGACTGCTGGCTCTGTTGATTCTGCTGCACAATGCTGGCAAGCAGCTCTGCAACGGTCGCGGTAAGGCCTTCGGGGCTGAGGGGTGCTTCCTGCTGGGATATCCCTCGATGCTGAGGCTGCGATGGGGGTGCTGCGTGTGCCGGCGGTGGCGGTTGCTCATGCTCACGGAGCTGGTTCCCCCGCTCGGACCGCTCTAGGAGTGCTTGCAGTTGCAGCTGTTGCGCAAAGGCCGACAGGCCGACGTCCTGCAGCATACCTCCCCCCGGCCCGCAGCTGCCGCCCCCGACACCGCGATCGCGCTGCTCTCGATCCCGATCCCGGTCGCGGTCTCGATCCCGTTCACGGTCAACAGGCACAAAGAGGCTTTCCAGATTGAGCGTTTGAAGCTTGACCGGTGCTTGTTGCTGCGATTGCTGCTGCTGCTGTGGAGACACCTGTCCAGCGGTGGAAAACAGGTTCGAAGCGCTACTGGCGCCGCCCCCGCCGCCGCCGGTGGGGAGATTTATCCCATGCAGCTGCATGGGTCCGCCAAGGGCGCCAAGCGCACCCCGGCCCAAGCCGAGACCCTGCGTTAGCACCGGGGAAAACAGAAAAACATGATGAGCTTTTATGCGCCAGGCCCGAGTATACATGTTTAAACATATGTGAACAAACAGCACTTGTGTAAACAGCACAGATATAGACAGCTGTACGGAACAACTGCCCAATCCTTGGCGCAGAGCTGGTGTATGGAAGCTCAGGATTGAACCCTCAAGGAAGTACATCTTGTGACTAGTGCTGTCAGTAGGTACAGTTTCATAAAGCACACGGAGCCCTCAAGGTGCCCCACCTCGTCGCTTTCACGGCCGCCCAGTGCCTGAACTCCCGAGGCGCCGCCGGATGCAGGGGCCCCCTGGAGCTCTGACAGACTGCTGAGCAGCTGAATCAAAGCCGACGCGCTCGCAGGTGCGTTAATCGCAGCAGCACCGGCGGGCCCCGTCCCTGTCAACCCGGCCAAATCGTGATCCCGATGGTCGCGGCGAAACAGGTGTTGCGACGACGCCTGCGCGCCACCGCTGCCACCACCACCACCACCACCGTACACGTGCGCCAGCGCCTGAAGGTCCATAACAGGCGGCAGCACTGGCGAAGTGCCGCCACCGCTGCCGTCACCCCGAGGAGATGACACGTCGCCAGCGAGGGTACCCAGCTCCAAGCCGGAGCTTTGGGAAGTGCCCACACCCGCACCCGTTGCCTGGCGTTTTGCTGGCCGTGGGTGGTCCTCATCCCCGTACGGATCATCAAACCCGCGGTTGCCCCCTCCGGTGACAGCGGCCACTGTGGCCGCGTTGGCGGCCGCTGCCGTGTCGCGGATCGCGCGTGCACCCTGGCCGCGGCGGGCAGCGGGCTGGGTGGCACTGGGCGGCAGCTCCATCTTATCCAGGCCCAGCTTTGTCTTGTAGTTGTGGTAAAAGGTCTTGATTTGATTCGTACTCTTGGTGGGAATGGCGTCCGCAAGACGAAGCCAGTCGCGGCCGTGCATCTGTAAGTACCAAGGGCGGCACGGCACGGCACGGTATGTAATGTAATCCATGGCGGGCTAAAGTCGAGGGAACAGTGCGTCCCGTGGTAGAGATGAGACGTATGCGTCCGCGCGCACAGAGACGTCACCAAATGTGAAATCCGCGTGAGCGCATATCCTTCATCGCATCGCTTTGCATGCCGTCCACGCTATCCCCTGCCCAACCTGCCAAACTCCTAACTTCAAATCATGCTCAACCCCACGGTTTCCTCCACTTCAAACCTTCCAGCAACCAGCAGTTATGAGACATGCTATGACTAGCCGTCTGCTTACCTGGAAGACCTGGAGAAACGTTTTTCGTTCGTCGTCGCTCCAGTAATTGACGCTGCGGCGGCTGCTGCTGGGCGCCGTGCCGGCACCGCCGCCTGACCCCGCCCCCCCGGGACCGTCCTCCCCGGGGGAGGGAAACTGGCCGCCTGAGAGGTCATCCGCCTGGGAGGCAGCCGACTGACCTGTAGTTCTCCAACGCAGGACAGCAAGGAAGGGGGTGGGGAACGCGGGCAAATACATGAGCATTTCCATGAACACAGGGAACACAGGGGACTCCCCCCCTTGATCCGTTGTATGATCGCAAGGTATAAGAAGTTCCCGCAAGGTACAAGGAAAGGAACAACAAGTGGAGGAGGAATGAGCCAATGGCAGACAGACAGGAAAGAACAAAAGGAGCAGCAGTAATTTTACGAATGAAAATAAGGGTGGTTACAGACGAGACCGTGCGAGAACAGTCAACACGGGAGCAGTCCACATACACCTGGCTGGCGAGGGGTACGTCAGGCCACGCTGTCCCCTGCCCCGCGCACCTGCAAGCAAACCCATCGCTGCAGCAGCGCCGCTGCTGCCGCCGCCATTGCCCATGCCACCTTGAAGCACCCCAGCAAGGCTGCCCAGCATGCCGAGGTTCAGCCCTGCCGCCGTCAGGGTGCCCAAGGCCCCCGGGCCCTGGGCAGGCTGCGGGTCTCGGACCTCCCGCTGCTGCTGCTGCTGCTGCTCGCGTTGCTGCTGCTCTCGCTGTTGGAGAAGGAGTTGACCCAACAATCCTCCGGAGGCTCCGCTGCCGACAGTGGCGTTTGACCCAGCAGCGGCGCCCTTCCCGCCCTTCACCCCACCACCACCGGCAGCAGCAGTGCTGCTGCCGCCACTGCCGCCGGGAGCGGTAGCGGCACCGCCTCCAGGCTGTAGCAGTCCGCCAACAAGCAGCTGGCTCAACGGATTGCCCACGGGGTTGCGCAGCGCAGCCAACAAATCAAGCTGAGGCTGCAATGCATCAACACCTCCAGCCCCACCGGCCCCTGATGGGTCGTATTCCGAATCTGACCGTGTATCTGGATCCAGATCCTGCTTGTATCGCCCGTCGTGCCGAAGCATTTCATTGGACTCCAGGGACGACGCGCTCGCATGGGGTCCGTTTGAAAGGGACGCCGGGTTTGCAGGCACTCGCGGCGGTCCGCGACGGCGGCCGCCGGGATGCCGGGGGATCAGCATCACTGGTGCCTGCGGTGGCTGGGTCTGCTGCTCAGGCTGCTGCACCGACGGCGGCGCAGCTTGCACCTCCCCCCCTGCGACAGCCTGCACCCGGACCTGTTCCAACACCTGCTGGACTTGGACTTGAGTCAACGCCTGCGCCGCGGCCTGTGCCTCAGCTTGGGCCTGTGCACGAGCTTGTTCGAGAACCTGCACCGGCACCTGCGTCTGAACCTGCGTCTGAAGCGAAGGAACATCGACAGGGGCCTGAGCCTGCGGAGGCGGCTGCGGAGGCGGCGACGGTGAGGGGTACTGCGACTCTGACTCGCGGCCACTGACGGCAGCCAATAGACCCAGGCCCGCGACAGCAGCATCCTCTGTCCGCAAAGGAGACGCCTCTGCCACAGCCCTGCTTGGAGGCGCAAGCTCCTCCATCGCCGCCGCTGAGGAACCCGGTCCTGCATTCGCCGCAGCAGCGGCTGCAGCCGCCGCGGCATTGGCCATGGCAGCAGCAGCGGTTGCAGCGGCGAGCAGCCCAGGCGCCGCCGACTCCTCGTTGGCAAGGCGAGCAGCCAAGAACGCCTTATGGCTTGGGCCTCCAGCGCTGGCGGTGGGAACGGCTGCCATGCCACCAGTGGCGGCGGCGTTACTGGCTCCAACACCGGTGGCGTCGGCGCCGCCGCTGCCACCGCCACCACTGGGCCCGCCGGTTGCCGACACGCGATCCAGCCCTAGACGCTCCTTATGGCGATAGTAATACTGCTTCGCGGCGGATTCAGTGCGCATCCCGAGCACTCGGCAGTAAGCCTCCCAACATTTGCCGTGCTGGCGGTAGCATTCCACAAAGTCCTCATCAGTCCAGCCTGCGGCTGCAGCACCGGACGGAACGAGAGACGCACCCGAGCCACCGCTGACGCCAGCGCCGTACGCTGCAGTAGCATTGGAGCTAATCGGCGGCAGACGCGGTGACGTAATGATGTCCCGGGGATCCAACGACATGCTGGGAGCTGCGGCACGCTGCGCGGCTGCGATCATGGACTGTAATCCTGGCATGCCGCCGCTGCTGGGCACACCCCGAGGCCCGCCCAGCGACATGGCCAGTGCGGCTGGGCCAGGGTTACCACCGTAGCTCAATGGCCCCATGCCCATGCTGTGGTCTGTATCCAGCGTGTTGCTGCTGCGGCCGCGGCCCGGGGGCCCGCCCCGCGTGCTCGCGCGTCCACGCACGCCGCGCACCCCCACGTCGCCAGCACCTGCACCCATGCTGGCCCGCTGCCGCGCAATCATGGGCGCCATGAGCAACGGCGCGTACTGCTGCTTCCGCATGTCGGCCTGTACATTACAGAGCGCAGGAGAGGACGACAGGAAGGAGACGGGCAGCGTTTTGTGTTCTGTTCTGTTGAATGGCGGCCAAGCAGACGACCCAAATACACAGGGAATAATGGGTAGATATTCCATATGAGTGGCACCTGTGCGGTGTATTTACACAATGTGCCGCTTGCCTGGAAGGCGTGCGCCTGGTCTTACTGCCAGCACACACCACCACACGGTACAAACCCCATGTGGGCCCACGTTGTCGGCCCCAGTTCAACGCCAGCACTGGGTCGTCGTCAGTGTGGCAAGAACCTGAGAGAGTGCAACTGTTCACGGCCTGACGCCTCCTCACGCCGTCCTGGGGATGATCTCTTCTCCAACCTTCCATCCTTCCATCCATCCTTCCTTCCTCCCTCCCAAAATGCCGCTGCCCGCCTCACCTGCAGACGTCGCTTCTTGAGCTGCTGCTTGCGGCGCACCGTGCTGAAGTCGTCGAGCTTCTGGTTCTTGTAGAAGAACGCGACACAATCCCCCGGCGAGCGCCCTGGCAGGTAGGTGGAGATCTTGCGGAAGTCCTTCGGGTGCTGCAGGAACTTATCCATGAAGAGCGTGCGCTCCTCCTCCGCCCAAGACTTGATCATCTGCGATCAGACGCCAAAGGAACGAATGGCGCAAACCAAACTGACAGGCGCAGGTATGGGGAGAGAGAATGGTGTTGTGTCCAGTGCCACGGCAGCAAGCAGGTGAAAACAACATTTTATCCATGACTAGGAAAGTTCAGTAAAAATATCTCGTCGCAGTACGATACCGCAGCCATGTCGGCAAGCAGAACGTTTTCACAAGAGTTTGAGCTTGATTACCATCCCATGCGGACAGGTACGTGAAGAGGGCAAGCAAACGACCATCTGGCGACGTGGTGTAACTGGTAAAATGGTAGCAGAGAGTATGCCGCCGCTGGATAGAAGCCTTCCCATACCGGCCTGCAACATCGTCTCAAGGGACAAAACACCAAACGCAGGTGAGACACGAAGCTCACGGGGGACGTAACGGGTAAGTGAACCACTTGCTGTTTTTATAACTTGCGTGGAGGTGTCTGCCATATAATACCCATTACCCTTCCATTCCATTAGCCCATGCCTTAAAGACTGGGCGCCGAGCCTACCCGCTCTTCCTCCAGCTCCCGTACAGGGTCTTGGACAAGGCCGTTGCGGTTGTCGTACGCTCGCCATCGCCGTTCCCAAGGATCCAGCACCATATCCGGCAACGCGCACATGCGCTTCAGCTGCTCTACCGCCAAGAAGTTGTTCAGCAGGCGGTGCTCGTCCAGGTCTGAGCGGATCACATCCGAGTGACTGTACGAATACGGGTTGTATGAGCTGACTGCTCGCGACGCGCCGTACATGCCGTACGAAGGCGCACCGGATGCCCCCCGGCCCGTTGTGGACAGGGGTGGAGGCGGCGCAGGAGGACGACGACCCTCTGCGCAACACGTAATCGAAAAGGGTGGATGCAGCGCGCGTACGGAAAGTGCACCGATTCTCAGTTTCATTTATCAAAGGCAATGACTCGAAGGCTCATGCATGTCCGAGGCTCATGCAGCACACTCTGCTATACACGCCGGTGCAGGAAACCAATGCCCCACCCCGACCGCTCCAACCCCCCAAAAGATACAGATTCAAGGACACAGCCAAAACATCTCAACCAAATCCAACCACAGACTTCCGGGAAACCGCATAGCGAAGAAAAGCAGGGAAACGATTACACATAAAACAGTAACGCAGGAGGAGGGGCAGCTGCACAACAAACGAGGTAAAAAGGTCAGAGGAGGTAAAAAGGTGTATACGCAGGAGGAGGAATGCTACGGGGAACAAGCGAACCCACGAGAGACCTCTGCTCTGCTGCTGCCACGGGCCGCACTCACCCGTTTGTATGTACTGCTTGTATGTGGCCATGTTCCTCGCGTACTGCTCCACCAAGACGGAATGTTTTGCAGCCACGAGCTGCCGGCGTTGGCGGAGGTACCGGCCCACGGCATCACGTATAGCAGCGTGGCGCTGGTTATTGGCGTGAAATGCAGGTATGTCCTGCGGTAGGGAACATGGAGGGAGGGAGGGCAACTGAGGGCAACTGCTCGATAGCTATAGGCATAGAAATACTGTGCTATGAAAGAGGCAACGCGAAAAAATCTTACATGAAATCCTGACTCTTAGGCAACACGCCACCCAACATGTAGGGTAGGAGTGAAGCCACTACCTTCCAGACCAACAACGACCCCCGCAACTCCTCCCCTCAAGTCGTAAGCGCGTCGGGGAAGCAACACATGAAAACGATAGCACAAGGAAAAGAAGGCATGTTATCTAAATATCGAAAATGTGTAATAATTTTTGTACGTAGGATATCCGCACAAGTACGATGCGATAGCGGCGCACACCTGAGGCTCCTGGTACAAAGGCTCCACTTGTACGGGCACCAACGGCACAAGAACTGCCCAGCGGCCGTGGCCCGGAGCTGGCGCCGTGCTGGCCAGACGCGCCTGCTGCGCCGTAGCAGCCTCGACGACAGACCGCACGCGCGCTGCCAAGCTGTCCGGCAACAACCGAAGCACCTCCTCCTGAGCCGCCGACACCCCCCGACGCGTGGCATCCATGTAACGAGGTTTGAAATGCTGCGCTGGCAGGTGCAATAAACCATCGGCGGGATTCCGCGACTGCAGCTCGAGGGCCTTGCGGCGGCTGTCAGCCGCTGCGGCAGCAGCGGCCGCTGCCTCAGCAGCGCGCATCTTAGCCGTGGAGCGCGGCCTCCCTCGAGGCTTGATGGATGATGCCGCCGCCGCGGCCTCGTCCGCGTCCTGCGACTTCGTCGACATGGCGGCATCATCGCCATCGTCTTCAGCCGCCTCCGTCAAACCTTCCGCCTCAGTATCCATCTGGGTCGCGCCGTCGCCGTCGCCCTGCGCGGGCTGAATTCCCGCGGAATTCCCGTCAGCTGTGGTGGTTGCGGCCTGGTGGTGGCTCCCAGGGACCTCCTGCACCGGCGTCTGCGCCGTCATCACCGGCGCCGCTGTCGCGAGGCCTTCCCTGCCACATTCACCGTTGGCGCTGGATGCACTGCCGCCGCTACGATCAACGCCATTAGCGTCCGCGTCCCCTTCCGCCACAGGCTGACTGGACTTCGACTCCCCTGGCGCACCGCTGATGTTTTCATCGCTATCGCCGCCATCTGATGAAGAGTCCTCGAGCAACTGCTCCTCAAGGGCGCCCACCTCAGCAGCAAGTTCCGCCGCGTCAATCTGCGCCTGACGCGACTCCGAAGCCAGCGCTGCCAGCTGTCGTTCCAAATCCGTAATTTCCGTTTCCAAGTGCTCAATGCGCAGCGACAGGCCGGCAAGTGTTTCAGCCGGGTTCCTGCTACTGCCCGCGGCGTCAGCACTCGACTGCTGCGGTTGTTGCTGCTGCTGCATTTTATGTACAACATCCTGCGAGGCGGCGGCATTATGGCTATCAACTTCCATTGGGGCGCAGTTACCAGTGGCCGCTGCACCGGCTCCGCTACCGCTCGGCGCTGAGGACGAGCTCCTAGTTGCAAGCGCCACACCAATTGACATCGTCGCGGCCGCAGTGGCCGCCGGCGTTGTCGCCGCTGCGGCACTGGGCGTTGCCATAGGACCTGCCACAGGTGATGTGAGCTGTGAGTACGACGTAGCAGTGCCGTAATGCGGCGTGAAGCCACCAACGTGGGGCATGCACGCCCCACCCGGCGTCAGCGCCGCGGGAATCGGCGTCGGCAGGAAACCACCAGTCGTCATGCCCGGCACCGACATAGGCGTGGAAACCGCGGCAGCTACGCCGGCTGCGGCCGTAGGCGGCGCTCCTGCGGGCTCGGGCACGACCAGCGACGGCGGCAAAGCTGCATACGACTCCTTGCCGCCGGCAGTCCCTGCAGCGAGAATAGTCCCAGGAACCTCCGGATCTACCACCTCGCCCGGTGGCTGCGGTCGTCCTGCGCCGGAGGGTGCACGTTCCAGCGACACAGCGCCTCCAGGAACTTCGCCGTCCTCTGGAGCACCGCCCTCGCCCGCTGACTTCGCCGGCATCGATCGCCGCGCGCGACCAAAACCAAACCGGCGTATACTCAAGCTGCTTCGTTTTTCAGGCAACAGCGCGTCCTCACCAGCCCCGGCGGCCGCACCGCTGCCATGCGGGGCTGGCTGGGCTGTGGAGCCCCCCAGACCCCTTGGACCCGGCATGGTGCTGAGGGTTGCAGCAGGGGGATGCTCAGAGGTCTGCCCGCCGCTACAGCTGAGCCGCGCAAACGGCGCCTCACTGGCGGAACTGGATGGGCCAGTCACCGCATCCACAGCGCCTGCTGCACCGGCAATGACGCCAGACACAGGGGTCGTAGATGGCACAGACTCTTCCGCCGGCCGCTGTTGCTGCACGGGTTCCTGCTGCGTAGGGTGTAGAGGAGGTTGTGCTGCCGCAGCCGAAGGAGGGGAAGGCACTTGGACGGCTTGAGGTTGTGTAGCTATGGAGGCCGGTACCCGAGGCCCACAGACCGTAGCCAGCGGCTGGGAAGGCGCGGCAGAGGGTGCTTGGGCGCTTGGAGAGGCCGTAGGCCCCATAGGCTGGAGGGAAGGCGCCCGCGCAGCCTGGGTCTGGCCATCGCCGGGGAGCTCCCCCGGTTCCGCCTCAGGAGCCGATACGCTCGCAGCTCTGCCGGTAGCAACAGGAGCCCCAGCTTGGGTATCAGCAGTGCTCAAGCTGTTAACACTTGCGACCGCTGGGATGCCGGGCGCTGCCCCCGCCCCGCCGTCGCTGCCTGCTCCTGCCGTGCTGCTAGGTCGGCTTTCCGACGGTGCCACTGCCACTGCCGAAGGGGGCGCCATCACTACCGCGGACGGACTGGCCGAGGGAGGTACGGCCGCCACAGCTAATGATGGCGCCGCGGCCGCTGCACTAGCACATGATGCTCCTGCATGCGCCGGCTTGGACGAGCGATTTGGCCGCCGATCCGCTGACTCAGCGCCCTTCACGTCGACAGGCGACGTCGGCGGTTGTGTAGATGCCGCAGCCGGTGCTGATGCTGGTGCTCTTGCTGCTGGTGACGGGGTGACGGCTGCAGCTGTGGGTCGATCGAGAGGAAAGGGGGCCGTCCCGGCCGTCGAGACTCTCGCAAGCTGCGTTACTGCATCAAGACCAGGTGCCTGTCCCTGGCTTGAGCTGCCGCTGGGTTTCCGATCCAACCGCCCTGACCCCGGAGCCGTTCCAGAGCTGTACCTTCGATCCAACTCCATTGACGTGTTACTGGCCCGTCGCTCGACCTCCATGGTCGCTCCAGGTGATGGACCCGCCGCAGCACCACCGACCACGCCTGCCGCGGCCATAGCCTCCGACGCACCACCTGCAGATGCGCTGGGTGCTGCCGTGCCGGAACTGACACAGCGGCCAAGCCCTGTTTGCTGCTGCTGCTGCTGCGGGGACGATGATGGCTGTTGCTGATGTTGAATAGCTGAGCTGGTTCCAGAACCCCAACGCAACTGTTGCTGAGCCTGCTGATGTTGTTGCTGTGGAAGCTCCACTACGGAGATGATGCCCTCACGCCCACGATCCGGAACCACGGGCGGGGCTTGTTGCACCTCGCCGCTACCACCCGCGCCTGCCCCTTGGCCAGTGGCCATGTCGCTACCCGTGCGCCGCGGGGACTGCCCAGGCGATGGTGCTGGCACACCCTGGCTGGATGAGCGGGCTGCGTGCGAGAAGCTCACCGTCGCCGTCGTTCCTTTATCCCGTTCCCGATCTCGCTCGCGGTCTCGATCCCGGTCCCGTTCGCGGTCTCGATCCCGGTCACGGCCTGAAAAGGAGCCGTCCCGGGCCAAACCCCCTTCCAACCGACCCTGGCCATCGCGCGTGGACTGCTGCTGCACACCGCTGGGAAGAGAGGCGGAGCGGTAACCAATCTTACCAGCGTCCCGTGGGTCTCGGGCCCCAGCATCCCGTGCAGTATCCCGCCCTGTAACCTCGCGGCCTCCCTCCCGCGGCGGCGGGGGCCCTTCCCTATGGCCCCCGCTCTGTCCTAACCCCGGCCCAGAACCTATCCCAGCGCTCAGGTGGCCACTTTTGGGCTCCCAGCCGCCAGATGGGCCGCCGCCTCTAGGTGACAGCAGGGCGCTCGAGGCAGAACGGTGGGTTCCGTGGTGGCTGAGGTGAGAACTAGAGACGGGTCCTGAGCCAGTGCCAGGCCCCGCTCCGGGTCCGTGGTGATGGCTATGGGGTCCGTGATAGGATGAATGGTGATGATGATGGGGTGCGTGGTGATGGCTGTGGTGCTGGTCAGGTGAAGGTCGCGCGTGGTCGCCACGGGATCCGGGGCCTGGCGCCACTTCGCCTGCCTCCAAATCACCGTTGGATGGGCCGTTCTCTTGGTACTCTGCGCCCGCGCCTCGAAGAGAACCGGAGCTGTTGCTTCCGCCGCGATGCCCGCCGCCCCGGGAACTGCCGTGACCATGCGATGGCACGGAGGGCATGAGCGGTAGCTTGCCTCCACGTTCCATGCTCCAGCTGTCTAGAGGTGTGCCCTCGCGGCTGGCAGCCCGCGGGTGCAGATCCATATCTGGGCCGCGGTCGCGCAGCGGTTGTAGCTGCTCGCGGCCGCTGTGATAGTGGCTGTGGTGATGGTCGGGTGATGGGTCTCGAGAGCGTGCCGGGGGTCTGCTGTCTTCACCGCGGTAGCCATAGGCTTCGCGCCGGAAGCCCTCTTCGCGCGGCCGGTAGCCATTGGTTCGCTCCTATATCAGATTTAAGTAGGTAGGTAGGTACAGGAAAGAGGAAGAAGGTCACCCCTAACAAACAGTTCATTTAGACGGCACAGATCCGTATTGGACACATGTCTATCTGTCCTCCAGCCGTACGCATGCCCTATGAACGTTAGGGCGACAACCAATAAAAAGAATAGTTAAAACGCTTGTCCAACGAATTTACCTGAATTTGGTAACGAGGACCACGGTCTCTATCCGGTCGTTCCGGCGAGTAAGCGCGACGATCGTGTTCTGGCGAATATGGACGTCGGTCTGGCGAGTATCCTCTAGGGCGATCGCAGTCCGGTGAAACAGGCCCGGTTGGTCCATTGTAGTTACCTGCAAAGCGGCGAAGGCATCGGCACCTCTGTCAGAAAGGCGGCGCACGTCTTTTAACCATATTCCGCTCACACAGACGAATACAAAAAGGCAAGCGCAGCCTTTTTCCTCAAGTGGCCTTGCTGGGCGAATACCAGGCCGGCAACGATCGCAACCCCGTATGGTTCCATATAGACGGACGCCTCGGCATGAAACTAGCTGTGAACCCAAAGCTGCGCCGGCTGGCTCTGAAGTCGACTGAGTTGCATAATGATGGCTCCTACCGGCTCGACCAAGAGGCGATGTGAAGCCATAGGATGGACGCCTGAACACCTCGCGGTTCTCGCGGAGGGGGCCGCCGTAAAATTGATCCCTTGGTGAAACCGGGCCTTCATATGAATGTAGGCGACCGTGACCAAGACCACGCCGATAAGCCTCTCGGTTGTCCTCCATTTACAGCAGCGTCAACTCCTACAAAAGTAAAAATTCCTTTCAAACTCCGGCAAGAATGTTTTAGCCATGCATTAAGCGACATAAAGTATACAGCTGCGCTAACACTGACGCGATAGCCTACGAGTTGTGGGGTTACCGCCCAGAGGCGTCCACCCACCTAACACACCGAGCACCCCAAGGAGTATGAGGTGCAATAGCACCCTGCCTTCATGGCGATGAAGGCGTCACCGGCTCTCCTTCGCCACGCTGGAGGAGCCCGAAGCGGTCGGAGTGACAGCCGCGAACCCGCGTCTAGATGCCACCGAAACCCTCGACCTCCTACTATGCTATAGCGCCTATTCCACCTTACAAGCCATAAGCACATGCGCGTCACAACGTAAACGCCAGCGCACAGCGGCCTTTGTCCAAATCCGTTGATATCCTAGCATTTGCACGTCCGTTACTATCCAGAAAACTAATACAAACATTCTGTCTCCATTGCTCCTCCTGCTGCTTTGGCGGGGCCGTACAATCCGGACGGCCGCCGTACTGCATGTACTTTTCAAGTCTTAACTCCTACCAAGTAACACAGTTGAGACAGTTACTCCCGCAATAAGGATGCCAAGAACGACAAGTAGGGAACCAAACATCCACGACAGCCGAGGTGCATAGGTGATACCCTTCTTAATGCCCTTCTCTCTGGCAGATTGTAGTCTAATGAGTAGAGGACGCTTCAGGTCGGCGGATTGCGTATCTGTGACGTCAGCTTCGTCGTCGACCTGCAGAACGGAAAATGTATGAGAAACGTTTTGACCTTATCGACAAGGAGACACATCAAGGACAAGCATAAGACATAGCATTGTTAAATCTTCAACATACCTGGCCCTCAAGCGTCTCCAGGACCTCGGTGGAGTGCTTGACTATTGCGGCGTTGATGAGGAGCAGTCCTGGAATGAAGAAGATAATGAAGGAAATGCAAAGACCACCGAGAAGGTTAAGCACGAAGCCCAGATCTGACACGACCTCAGCGACCGCGGTGCTGCCCACCACGAAAACCAGAGTAAACGCGATGGACAGGACAAACGGCACACCGACAGGCTGCCCATTTGGATAAGAAACTGTTGAGCCGCTTAGGCAAGCAGGCTTCACCAGGTGCTCAAATCCGGCGCGCGCGGGGTGGTGGGTAAGAGGATACGAGCCCAGCACAATGACGGTGATGAAGGCGCGCGCAATCTGCACGTCCACGGCAAAGAGGGAAAGCGAAGTTAACGCCGTCCGCCAGTTGAGAGTTTGTCCACCCCCGAGTATCGGACTGTAGACCCTGGGTCAAGGAAATCATTCTATTATACCCACAGACACATGGCAGTGTGCATGTCTTCTGAAAAGGGTTCCCTTTCCCTTTGGGAGCTCAGGGAAGAGGGAGGATTTGGTAAGGGACTCAATACCCGGCCCGGAACACAACTGCAAAAAAAACAAAGGAACAGGGCTCTATATCAGCATGTTGACTGGCGGCACGCACCTGCAACATCACGTCACCATACGAAAAGGATTTCAGGATGTTTGTGTCCACATGGCCGGGGAACGCCAGGTATCCGGTGCTCCCAACGACCACGTACACCAGCATCACCAGGCAGGAGCTGCGCAGCCAGGTAAGAGCCACTTGGATAAGACCATTTGCCTTAGCCATCATACATTAGCCGGTGGGCTGTTTTACCGCCCAAATCCGCATACCACAATTGCCTGGCCGCCTGGAGTCCCCAGCTCACCTGGCCATGATGACCCCCAGCATGCCCACCAGCTTCCGGGTCTTAGGCCGGGGAATGTAGCGAAAGCGCTGGAAAGCCCTAGGGCTGTCAGGCAGCACCGGCACCACCAGGCCTGGCGTAGCCTGCAGCGATTTGGGCACAATAAGACGCACTTGCGCGAATCGAACTTCAACGATGAGCGTAAACGTAGGAAGGAAAGACGGCCTGGAAAGAGCACAAGGTCGGTGCCATCATCCATTCCGTGTATGGAAAGCTTGTGTGAACACGCGATGCGCATCCGCCCGCGCTACGTAACAGAACTACACGGCCCATGGAGTCCCAAGCATCACGCACCTCAAGCTCGTGGAAGATGGTGACCACCATCGCGTGGCAGTTGAAGCCAAAGACGACGATGGGGATGGCAAAGAGGGTTTGATAGCCAATGTTGAACAGCTTGACGCCCTCCATCAGCTTGGGCCGCTCAAGAGCTACCTGTGGAGACGTACCTAGAAGAATCGACATGATGCACGGAAACCCCATGCTTGCTGGCCCCTGTCCTATGTTTTGTCTTGTCTTTTCCCGCCGCCTTTTCAACCCCAGGTGCGACTATTCGGCATGTCGCTGCCTGAAAAACGTCCGTGATCCACATCCCCATTAAAAAATGCTAAGGCACTTCCCTAAAATTATCGCACAGTTAGACCGGGGCTGTTTCCTGCTGGCGGGATGCCAACCAGCCGAAAGCCAGGTTTCGACCAGGGTTCGATCCCTGCCACCTGCACACTCCCAAATGATCATGGCCAACGGGTTTGCCGCCCCAAAACAGTCGTCCCGTCCCGCTCCGCGCCGCCCGCCCTGCGCCATCAACGTCGGCTGTGTACATAATTTACACATCTTGGCGGGCCTTCTTGACTTATGGACCCCGCCAAACCGCCCTAGCCGCACACACACCTGCAGTCCTCGGAAAGACACCAGTGCAGCCCCAACCAGGAATCCGAGCACCGCCACACGGCTCATCGCGGCAAGGGCACTCATTTGCCTGCAAAAACAGAATTGCATTCAGACACCCCGGACGCAAGAAGACGGGTCACGCGTGCGTGTGTGAGGGACCAACGGGTATGCACCCATAGGCAGCCGAGCAAGGGCGCGGGGGAGCACATGCAAAGCGATGAAAGGCACGCAGGTGGTCATCACGCATTGCTTCGTTGGACACAAACTGGTGGAATGTGTCTTACCACCTAGCACCTCGCCCTGTGTGTGCCTGTGTGTGTGTGTGTGTGTGTGTGTGTGTCTATACACCCTTGTCAATACACCCCTCACCTAGGTAAGCACAGGGGCAGCAGCACGCCCAAGCCCAGCACTGCGACGACATTGTGTCGATCGGAGATCCAGACTGGCAGCCCCGCTGCAGCCGCCAGGGATGTGAGGTTGTCCGCCAGGATGATCTGTCATTGAAGCATCACACCGGCGGGTAAGTTAAATAAGTAGCAAACTCACCTCAAACCGCAATGCACATCGACGCCACATGGCACATGGCACGCCACAACTCCGGCCAGAAGAAAGCAGTTCCACAGCCATATTTTTTCCTCGGCGGCTGCATAAATCGGGTTCTCAGTCCTAACGCGCAGCAGCAAAGTTACGAAGGAGGAAAGGCCTGGTGCGCACACAGCGGGGAAAGGTGCCTCCTCGGGGGGTTGCCGCCCTGCACCTCACCTCGTATTTGCCAATGACAGCGCTGCATTGTACTGCACTATACTGCTCCTGATTTACTTTACCGTGCAGCCGTGTACTGCTCTCACCAGGTATGCCACGCACGCGCCAAACATGGCCACCACCAGCACCGCGCTCAGCAGCACCGCCAGCTTGCGGCCCAGCGCCCTCCGCACCAGCTCCACGTAGGTTACCGCGGAATAACGCTCCGCGAATTTCGACAGCACGTACAGCGTTAGGGCCTCTATTGTGCCAACCGCCACGCACAGCAACAGGCCGCCGATCAGACCTGAAAAGATGAAAAATAGCGCGGACGAGCGCGGCGTGTGCGGGGGAGCGCAGGCGATGGGAGGGGAGGGGACGGGAGGCAAGGCTGTGCCATGCAAGGTCGAACAGCGCGCGTAGGGCGCGCAAGTAAGGGGTTGAGCCGATCAGGACATCTAAGCGTTACGTGGATGCTGCGCATGTCCTGTAGCTGTGGTCCGAATGCAAGTGGAGAGAGCCGGGAACGCGGGAAGCAGTTGGTGCGTTCGGGTTGGTAGCCAAGACGCGCTGCTAGGTCTGGGGAAATTCCCCCAGGACGGGGTTGGCGTGAGAGGGAATCGGGCTGGCTGGGAAACGTGTCACCTCAGGCTTTAGAGAAGGAAAGGCGAGGGAGGAAAAAAGGAGGAATTGGACCTCTATGCTCCTGGCAGAACAATCCGCGTTTAACGGGCGTCAGCAGGTTTTCCCTTCGTCAGCTTCGTCTTTTCTTTGCACTTGGCTTATGGTTCCCGCCCTCTCTCTCCCGCTGGCCCCTAGGGCGGGCCGGCGACAGGTGGAAGCGGTCCTGGAGTTCGCAGACAGGGGATTAGGGGACTGGGTGGTACTGTTGGGGGAATTGAAAGCAGGGAAAACAGCAGCGGAAAGTGCGCGTGGGGAGTCATTGCGCGGAGTACGAGAGAATATGCGCGCTCCGCCCTGCTTCAGGCTAATTCGTTTGGAAGGGGGGGATGTGCTGTGCGCTGGAAAAGCGCCTTGCAGGAAGGCAGGCCAGGAAGAGAGATGCTTATGAAAGAATCCTTGTTTAAGGCATTTAATCCCAGCAGGGACAGCAGCAGCAACGGTGGCCGCTGCACGTGCGGGCAGATCCCTCTGGTTCAAGGTTGTGAGTTTGGTACTGCCAGCTCCGCTGCCACGCGCTTGCACGCTACACACCAACAAGGACAGCCTGGCGGCACCGAACATGACGGCATAATTCCCAAATCAACATGCATAGGAAGAAAGTATCAGCAGGAAGAGGTGCGGGACGGCTAGCGCTGGCCCCGACACACGGACGACTCGCTAGAGCCGCATAAACCAGGGCTTTGCGATGTCCGAGGTTCCGATTGCTGCCATTACTTCACCGTATTGCGTGGAACAGTAGTTCCTATATAAACGCGCTTTTACAGCGTGTGACATACTTACCCTTCCTAGCTGCGGGCAATGCCTAACCCACCTGTTTCCTGGAAAGCAAACGGCAGTGATAGGACTCCAGCACCGACGGTGGAGTTCGCCATCACAAATACGGAATTAAGGGCGCTTGCCCCTGACTGAGCTGGCGCATCGCCGGTATTGTCAACAATCCGCGGAACCGGAAGAGGTGGAGGCGCAGGTGGACCAGCATCCCCATGGAAAGAAGTATAGATAAACACGCCCCTGTCTGTTTGCTTTCGTTCGTGTATGGTAAAGGCTGACGATGACGAAACATCATTATCGCCAGAGACCAATATGGTGGGATCAGCATTATCTCCCATTTTACATTGAGGTACTGCGCAAGATACTCGGTGTCTGTATTAATTGTATGACCCTAAGCATATCTTGGCCATAAACCCACGATTCCCGTAATTTCCGGCCCAACCGACCAACTCCCACCAAACACACGGGACGGCCGATTCCCAAATCCCACTATTCCAATAATCACAAAATATATATTTGTCTCATGCCTAAAGCTATGTCCAGTCATATGTTTCAAGATTCTGGGCGCCGTCTGCATAGGAGGAGGACACCGGAGTGTTTCTAAAAGAACGTTTGCAGGCTAGGAGCAGGCTAACCTATCAAAATGCCTGCCATAAGCAAGAAGCAAAAAACAAACCATGGTCCTGGTGCCACTGGCAACTCCGCAGTTAAGCATAATGCGGCAGATTCACCGAAAGAGGATCCTCGGTTCCAAATAACTAGCGATTTCTCAGATTCAGGTCTAGAGCAACACGATGCTAAAGTCCCAGGGGCAGTCGCAGACGTCAAGGGTCAGCGGAGGCCGAGCTGCAGCAAGCCTGCGGGCAACGGAGCAGCGCCGACGCCACAGCCCGAAAGGCAAGCATCGCAGCGCGGAGCCTCAAAACGATTAACCTCGGACTCCCCGTCAGATGAGCACCCCGAAGATGGTGATGGCGGCGACGACCGTGGCGCCAGGGGCGACGGCGACGCCGGCACTGGCGGTTCAACACCTGAGTCCGACAAATTTCAAGACGAAGACGAAGACGAAGACCACACGCACAACAGCGGCAAGGCCGGTGGCTCTGAGAGCGACGATGGGGACCCCAAGCCCGATGGCGATCCTAAACCGAAACAGCGGAAAGTGCTGTCGAAGCGGAAGTTGGAGCAAGTAAAGGAAGCCAGCGACTGGTGAGCAAGCCACTAAATTCAATACATGCACAGGCCCCCTACGCCACTGACCCCTACGCCCTCTCAGTCCCTATCTTGCTCCCTGACTCCGGAGGTCCCTACCCTTGTGCCGATACCCCGCCGTACACCACGATACCCACGCGCAACCAGCCCCTGCGGTTCCCCCCGTTCTCCCCCCCATGGCCTCATCCAATCCTTTGACCCACCATCCAAGGACTCCCCCCAGCTGATTCTGGCCGTCGCCTCAAACGAAAGCGTCTCTCGCGCCATGCTCCTCCCCGTTTTTTCGGGGCCCCCCTAGATGCCCCCCTAGATGCATTTTCACCTCCCTCCTTTCTCACCACCTAGGTCTGCCTGCTAGCCTGCCCTCTCCACACCCTCTCCACATCACCCTCCCTCCTTCCCCCACCTTCGCCCCCCCGCCTTGACGGCATTGACGGCGCCCCCTCCCAGCCATGGCATCGTGTACATCAGCCGCATTCCCCCGCATATGAAGCCCCACAAGCTCCGACAGCTGCTGGAGCCATTCGGGGACATCGGCCGGGTGTATTGCGCACCTGAGGATCCAGCCATGCGGCGGATGAGGAAAAAGAAGGGCGGTAACTCGGGTGCGTGGGCGATATGGTGGGGTTGGAATCCAGGTTGTGGCGGGTGGGGGAGGTCAGGATGTGGTGCTGAGAGGCGCGGTGGCGGTGAGCTGAATGGTTGGGTGGGACGTTGTTCCCCCAAGAATTTTTAAGTGTGTTTATGCCTTCGATGCGGGCCAACAGCTTTTTTTCTCTTTTGCAACCTTTTGTGCATGGCATATGAAGATATGAACCTCCCCCCCATAACTCCTGACACCTTTTTTTACCCATCATCACCACGCACACACACAGACACACATTCTCCGTCCTGTAACCATTTGTTAATTTGCGCAGGTAAGAACTTCACAGAGGGCTGGGTGGAGTTTGAGGACAAGCGGAGAGCTAAGCGGGCGGCTCTCGCGCTCAACGGGCAGCCCATTGGGGGCTCCAAACGCTCAGCGTATCACTACGACCTGTGGACTATCAAGTGGGTGCGACAGCTGAAAATAAATTAAATGATTAAATAAGTAATTAATATATTTAAATATTAATTAAAATATTTAATGATAAATATTAATTAAATATTAAGTGATTAAATAAGTAATAAAATAATAGCAAATAATTAATTGATTATTGAGCTGCTTAAACTGACCCGCGTGGGTATGGAAAGGAGAGAGAACAGCGCCAAGCAGGAATCGATGACGGGTGTTTTTTCTAAGGTGATTTGAGGTGGGAGATGTGTGTTTGTCTGTTTGTGCTTTGTCTGTGTTTTGTTGTGTTAGGCCAACAATTGTGATTGCTCTCTGCCCCAAACCCACCGTGTGCTCTACCCCAGCCCACAACAGCAGCAGCAGCAGTTGCAGTTAGTGTTCTGGACGTCGGCGGTTGAACCCCATCTTCTTCTTCTTCATCATCATCATCATCGTCGTCATCGTCATCATCATCGTCATCATCATGCATCCTGTGGTTCTCGTCCCAGGCCACATCAGGATTTTTTCGATTGGGGATCTCTTCCATTCCCCTCCAATCCAATACACACACACACACACACACCACTCCACGCAACACTCCAAACAGCACAGCACAATACAACTCCGCAGGTACCACCCCACTCCCCCTTCCGCAGGTACCTACCCAAGTTCAAGTGGGATATGTTGACGGAGGAGATCAACTACCAGCGGGCAGTACGTGAGCAGAAGCTAGTGGCGGAGATCAGCGCAGCCAAACGAGAACGTGACTTCTACCTGTCACGGTATGTCTTCGTCGTGGGCATCTGTGTTTGTCCGGACGTATGTCTATCCACGTGGTGTGCGTGCGCGGTGTAGGTTGGTGTGGTGGTAGCGCTCTCCCTCTCTGTACATGTAATGTAATGTAATGTTATATTGTATATTATATTATATTATATACCATTTTATTATGATTTATAATTACACAATACATTTACATACATGCATATCCACGCGTGCATGCGTGTTTGATGAGCTGGGCCTCGATTTGGAAATGGCCTGCGTGGCGAGGGGATGCCGCAAACGAGTCCGCGTGTGTATTCCCCCCCGTGTATTCCCCCTTGCGTGGCGACGTTCTTGATAGCGTATGGTTCTCTCGATTCTCGCTGTACTGGGGGTGTTGCTCCTAATAGAAGATAGCGGGACGTGCGCAGGGAGGTGTGCAGCTACATGCAGCTATATGCTACATGCTACTCGTGTCTCGTGCTGTGTACACTACAGCGCCTCTCCCCCTCACCGGAGGGGGTCCCGTCTCGCCGTCGGTCGTTGGTGTACCCGTCCCGCCTTATGGGGAACAGCCTGATGTCGAGTCCTACCGCCCCACCAGAAGTCCCTTTTCGACCTGAGATGATTGAGCTGACTATGGAGTTGAGTTTTACTGCTTTTTGAGTTCACAGCGGTAGTTCGTCGCTTCCTCTCTGCGGTCATTCCTGTCTAGGCATATCCCCTCTAGTTCTAATCCTGTCTGCCATGTATTGCCGTATATTGCCGTACGCTGCCGTACGCTGCTGCTGCCTCATGCAGTGTCGATAAAGCCAAAGCTATCGACGCCATCGAGGAGAGGCGCCTCAGAGGAAAGCAGACCCAACCTGGCAGTGGCGGCGGCGGCGGCGGCGACGACGACGGCGTGCAGCCGGCGGCGGCGGCAGCTGCAGGTGCTGCAGCTCTAGACCACAGTGGCGGCGGCGGTGGCGGCGGCGGCGGGATGCAGCGCTTTGAGCGGCACTTCGGTCAGCGACGGGCAAAGGCGGATCCCGTACTGGACGAGCGTGCGCCCGTACTGGCGGATGACGTGTTGGGATTGTTGTGCCGGAAGCGTAAGGCCCAAAATTAGTTCGAGTAGAGGCGGTAAAGCAAGGGAGTAGTAGCATTAGCAGGGAGGGAGGCGATGGATGCTGCGCGCTGCTGCTGGCAGGGGTGCTAGCTTGGTGACGACCCCTTAGCAGAAATGTCTCGGCTTCACTAGTGTTGCATTTGTGGTTGCGTGGTTATTGGTGTTCCTTCCTGATGGGCCTGATGGTGTACGGCAGCGCGGGTCAGGTCACTGATGGACGTGTCGAGAAGACCGCCAAAAGTGGGGACCTCTGATGGGCACCTGCATTTGTACGGCTTTGCAGGTCCAGTGCTCCGTCCTTGAGCCGTGTGCAAGATTTACTTAGGAGGACTGAAGGGTTGACTTGTTGTGTTCTGACTTGAGACACTGGCCGAAATCCGCTTCCAGTGGCTGAACAGATTCCATGGATGGGCAGCGTGGGCTGTCGCGTTGGTTATGGGTGTGCAGAAGCACACGGCATAACAACCGTACGCGGTGAGTGATGGTAGCTTTGGAGTTTTTGAGAAGGAAGTTTCTGGCGCTTTTGTCGGATTTAGGTGTTCCATACAGGAGATATACGTTGTCGGGTGGCTATTCGGTGCGACATGGTGGGTTAGTGGTTAGTCATCACAGATGCACGACGTAAGCTCGCAAGAAGGTAAATTTCCACCCCATAGCATTATAGTTATTTAGTACTGTCCTTACTAGTTCCATGCATTGCGGACCGGAAAGCTCCGAGCAGCACTGTGTGCGTGGAACGCGAGGGCCCTATTCGGGATCAAAAAGGACAAGGCAGTCAAGTCGAGACATTGAGAAAGGTCGCGAAAATAGTTTGCTACGCACGGGAATGCCGGAAGAAAGACCTCACAGCGTCCCTACATTTGTCACCGTGGCACTAAAACGAAACGATTAAGGCATAAGATTAGCTTTTAACATAATATTTGATCTTCACAGTGGTTAAATACATTTTATTTGCTTGCAGCTTTAGCAGTCGTTCAAAACAGCGGAGGATGTCGTCGCTTCGGGCACCTTGCTGTGTGCGCACCCAAGCAGGTTTTTGTAGCAGCAGGACATTGGCGTCATTCCGTCATCCCAGGTTGCAGCCATGCTGCAGTTCCAAAGTGAGTTGCTTTCCTATTATCAACTTTTTGCGGTTGTAACGAGAGCGGTGTGCTTCGTGATGATGGTTTCCTCTAGCTACCCGCTAACTGTTCCATCGCTGGATACGTAGCAAGACGTTGCGGAGCCAGCAACTTCAACTTCGGCACCAATCGCCACGTCGACGCATGGGACATCCGGCCGAGCGATGGCCTTGTTTAAAGCAAGCAAGCTCGGGAGACAGCCTATTGTAGAGGCACAGAGGCCCCTAGGTAATTACACCTCTGTTCCTATGTATGACTGCACTCTACTCTCGATGCTCGCTATCCTGCCTGACGCTTGTGACTTCCCCCTGCTGTTCTGGCCGCCTGCGATTGATGTGGCAACCAACCCCCGCGCGCTACACTGCCTGACACCTCTCTTCTAAATCCCCCCAAATCCCCTCTTTCTTGCTTATCAATACCCTAGCGGAGTACATGGCGTTGCCCGCTAGCCAGTACTCCGTGTTGGACGCGCGGCGCATAGAACGTGTGGACGATTCGACATTTCGGTGCTACGGTACGTGTGCGGGGGGGGGGCTCAGCGCGTGATGCTGTGCGGGTGGGCCGCTTAGGGGGCAGTCTTATTCAAACCCGACGTTATTTGACCCGACGGAGTGGTTGAGATTACCGAACCACCGGGGGGTTTTGGGGGGAGACGGCCGTGTGACCAACGAGACTCCTAGAGGGGGTGGTTGCCGGACAACGCACACGCAATTTGGTGTGGTCCTCGTGCAAGCCTTTTCCCATGTGCACCGGACTGGCTAAGGGGGGGGGAATCCTTGCGTTGCACCCCGGCCCGTGTTTACTGACGCCCGGGATTCAGAATTTTACAAGTAATAAATTCCAAGATCGAAACTAACTTCCGTTCCAATTCCAAGTGCGGAATTCGAATTCGAATTCTGATCCGAACCCAAGATTTGTTTTCGATGTACAAGTCCAGGCTCAAATCCAAAGACCCAGATCCAAAACCAAATTTGAATTCCAAACAATGCAGTGGGTGAGCTGCGCTTCTTCTCCTGGTCCGTGGAGCCCGTCATCACTGTATCTGTGACGGTGGAGCCGGGGGGCTGCACCATACGACTGCTGGATTGCAAGGTAGGATGTGCTGGGTAGGTGAGGGGCTGGGCTGGGGTAGAGGGACAAGGCCAAGCCAAGCTCTGCTGGGCGAAGAATTTTTGAGTTCTCGGCCATTTAAACGTACACAGGTTTAAACGATCCTTGAAAGCTCATCTGCTGCGAGCTATGTCCTCAGGATGATGTACGTACATGAAATAGTGGACTCCGCATCCGAAGCACTGCGAAAATTGAGTCGAACTAGCTACTACTACTACAATTCCCCCATTTATTTTCGACGGAGGAAATCGCCAGCGCCAGACAGCTTAGATTTTTTGGCCGAGCAAGTTCCGACCGTGGGGAGGGGTCATACAGCGGTCAGTGGGGGCGCAATTTTCCCATCCCGGAGGATAAACATTATGCAGCCACACTGTGGTTATTGGTTCAGTACCACACAGACAACACACACCTTACAACACGATTCCGTTGTTGATCTGCTGAGCTAGGGCAGTTAAGTTCAGCGCCCCAGTTAAGTTCCTCAAGTGTCTTACTAGCTCTCGAAGAAGTCCCCGGTCTGCTACTGCTCCCCCGCTTCTCCAGCTTCCCTTCCCTTCCCGGACCGTCTTTTCCCGGACCGTGTGTTGACGTGTCGAACGTGGTCTTGGGTCGCCGTTTTTGGCCACCGTGTCCTCATCCCCCTGCCTTTGCGGAGCGCAGTTGCAAGGCAGCCGGTTTGTAGAGGATATAAACGACAAGTTCTCCGCCACTATGACCAATGTGGTCCGGTACCGGGACTACCAGCCGCCTGCCGGAGAGGAGGAGGAGGAGGTGGAGACGGATCAGGGCCACGGAGCGTGGCAGCAGCAGCAGGAGGAGGAGGCTGCAGCCGCATTGCCGTCACGATCGGCAACTGGGGGCCCCTCACGAAAAGAGATTCTAAGCGACACGACAATTCAGGTATGTCGGAGGCAGGGTTCATGATGAGGGGGTGAGTTGTGTAAAAGGAGGGTTGAGACTTGGAAGGAGGGCTGGGTGCGGCGAGCCCACCTAGCTGTGGGGGAGTGTGGGAGGTTGCAAGTGCGTGAGAGCGCATGGCATTTGTCGTATTGACAATTAATGCTATGTGTACGGAAGTGTGACACCGTACCATGCGAGGTGTATGCTCTTGAGTGTATTTGTATCCCTTTCCTTCCATCGCATCAAGAAGGTGCCCATGCATCGCGGACGAGCACTTTTGTTAGGCGCGCGCTTTCAGAGCCGCACGGAACATAGACTTGCTCGCAACAGCCGTGCTTGCTTGGCTTTCGCTTTCTTCCGAAACGTCGGTCGTATAGAGTTACATGCATAATGTGGAGTGTACACTAGCCCTCCTAAGTTAGCTACTAGACTCACCCACTAGAGCAGACATGACAGACATGCAAGCATGTTTTCCCACAAAAAACATCCGCCAAAACATGCGCTCGTTTGCACACACACACACACACACACACACACACACACCTGTTCTTCAGACTCCTTACCAGTACACGCACACGCCGAACGGTATATAGTTCGTTCCGGTACGTACATGGTGTTATCATTCTCCGGTGTACCCCTCGGCATCCCCATCCATCCATCGACATTTCCCCCTCATCGCCGCGGCATCAAGCAGGTTCCGAAAATCATTAAAACACACACGTGCGCACACAGAGGTGAATAATGTAGACCCAAAATTCTTATAATGTCTTTTTTCATGTCACCTCTAGGTGTGTGTGGAAGTGCCCCCCTGGAGCGGCTTCCTGCCAGTGGCGACCATCGAGGGCGTCGGTAGCAACGTCATGCAGAACGTGCTCAAGGTCATGGTGCCTCGCTTTCTCGCTCAGCTACGGACAGACTACGAACTTTGGGCGAGCGGAGATGAGTCGCGACGACCTGTTGGGGAGCTGTAGCCGTGAAGCTGAAGCATATTGTTTGCTGGAAACTGATGATGAGTAGATGAGCGCCATGGGGGTGGTTTGGTTTGCAAAGGTGACATGTAGCAATAGCTGTTGCCGTCCCGCAGTCGCGTCGCTTCGTTAGGCAGTGCACATTTTGCTTTGGTGCTGTTACAACAACAGCAGCAGCTGCTGCTGCTGCTGCTGCTGCTGCAGCTGCTGTCGCTTTTCTTTTCTGGCACATCAGTACCCAGCCGCGTGCAGCCATGCGGGGGGCGGGTTGGGGCGAGTGGGGGCTCGCAGATTAAGACTTGCGTGGAGGCGATTGAATAATCAGCAAGGCCGGCACGCACTTGCAAACCGGTTGGCAATTGCGAGAACCGACAAGTCTGTCAGCTGTGAGCGCGGCTATAGTTTTTTTTTGAGTGTGTGGACTCGACATATACATGCATAATGAGTTACGCGTGCAGGATGGGAAGCTGGCAGGCGATGGTTTTTGCTTGGAGGAGATTTTATGACGAGGGGGAGATTTAATGCTTTCGTTTCCTGATGCATTCAGCAATGTGCGCGCAACAGCCCTTTGAAGGGCCTCCTTTTGCACTTACCTTTTGTTGTTGCTGTGCGTGATGGGCGGATGTGAGGTTGGCTTTCCGCGTTCGCGGTTCACATGTACGCAGCGGTGTCGTCACTACACGGTGTACCTCGGCTATGTCCCGGGGGAGTAGGTAGGGCCTCTGGCAGGAGAACAACCGAGCCTAGCTCACTATCTTAGAACCTGACCTGCGTTTTTCCAGTTGGAAGCTGTTCTGTTCAGTATCTCTCGAAGGTCTTCCGTCACAATGAATAGTTTGCGAAGACGGCCAGCGGCAGGAAGGAAAGGAGCTTGGAGTAAAGCCGACGCTTAACAAGCGTAAACTCTAGCACTTGCAGCCATATGGTTGATATAGTCGACCCTAGTAATGGTCACAGACAGGCAAGGTGAAAAAGGCGATGTACTCCGAAGCTGGATCCGGGTTTGGGTCCTTTTTAAGGCTTCTGCCAGTACTGCTGATCCGTGCCATTTGCACATGATTGGTCGTTGACACCGTTGCAGCTGCGCTGCTGCTGCTGCTGCTGCTGCTACTGCTACTGCCGGCGTCTCCGCCTCATGCTGCTGCTGCTGCTGCATGATGACGTTATCCCGCTTCTGGTCCTGCCCCTGGTCCTGCTACTGCCGTCGCCGCCCTGCTATTGACTCCCCTCCTGCGGCCGCAGCAGTTGCCATTGCCCACAAAACAGGCGAGCAGGGGCTGGAGCTCCAAGGGAACGTGGAGGCTTGAGAGTTGGTCAGCGGCAGGGCGATGAAGTCGTAGTAGCCAACCTGAAGGGAGGGAGGGTTAGTTGTATGTAGCCTGAGCCCCAGCGCCCGAGCTAGAGGCGGTGGTTAACGTGCGAGGGCTAAGGATGACGGTTATGATGTCGAGCTTGATGGCCAAAGGAGGATGTGCGGGGCTTCCAATCCTATCCCCGCCGCCCGGCTTTACAAGTACCTTGCTGACTTTTTATTTGAAAGGCCTAAGTACAGGATTAAGGCGTAGTTAGGCCCTAAGGCCTGACTTTCCAGAGCGAGCCATGCTCGCTGCTCTGCCGCACGGAATACAGAAGATCCACATAGATCTGGGGCTGCGCACTGCGCATAGAGTTGAGCAAGTCAGGACAAGTAGGTCGTCAATGTTAACAATGGCTGAAGCGTGACGAGCAGGGCACCCTAAGTTCCGACATGTCGACACGCATCCCGAAGAACTGCGCCTCGATTTGGGTGCTATTCTTCAGCCGTGGATCCAAACCAATAGGTTATAGAAACTTCAGCATGGTACAACAAAGTTTCTTGCTGCCAGTACCTCAATGACCTTTACATCTGAAGCAAAGCTACTGCCGGGATTCGCCTAGATTTCACCCTATGAAGAAATTGAAGCCCAAGATTCAATGGGGATGAGGCATTACCCTATATGAGATTTTCCGCTGTCAGGTGATAGTACTCGCTGACACGCTCTGCCCGGACGCCAAGCCGATAGCAGAACAATTGTTTCGTGTAAGTAAGAGATTCAATAACTAAAACAGGTTAAATTTCTATGGTGTAATGATGTGAGGTCAGCAGCGCAATTCTATTCCGCCCTGATTTTTTTTGCCTGATTTGCCGAAGTCCAGTACGACACGTTGACCGCAACAACTTTTGGAAAGCTGAAAGTCGTTGAATTATTTCATTCACTCCGATTTTATGTATGCACTGGTAAACAATGGAGGCTACAATCTATGTTTTCGCAAGCTTCGTTTCAACCTCCATTTACAAAAGGACGCGGGAAGCGCCATGGGCTGGACAACGGTACCAACAACACCTTCTTAAAAGTTTACACTAAATCTACGTGCTCTCATGCGCTTTAATCTGCGCAATTTGTTACCAGTACGGCATGCACCGGAGCCTAGCGCACCCGCCAGTACCAGCCAACAAGACCAAGCTGGGGACAGCAACGCAGCTGCTGCTGGCGGTGATGGCGTCGATCAGATCCGTACGGCAGCCGCCGACGGCGATCAGGAACCCAGTGCCCAAGCACCCTCCTCCCCCAGCCCAGCAGCACCACCTGCTGCTGCTGCTGCCGGAACTCTTGCCGCAGCCGATGCCACCACGGAAACCACACAGCCTCAGATCCCCTCCTCAGCCACCGAGCTAGCGCCCCCGCTGGGCTCCGAAACCAAGCCTGGAAGCAGCTCACCCACGGCACAGCCACACGAGGCTCCTTCTAACATATCTTCCAGCCTAGCCGTTGGCTCGACGGGGCTCGCTCTACCTACCAGCTCAACCCCTGCGCCACCTGAGGGGACTTCGAAACCGCAACCACGCCCTGCTATGCCTTCGCAACAACAGCAGCAACATGCTAGAAGCCAGCATCTAAAGAAAGTCCCCGCAGGTTCCCCCATGGGCAAGAAACCGCAGGCGCAGCAACCCGCCACCACCACCACCACCACGGCCAGCGATGACACCTCCGCCGCTCCAGGAGGCCCTCCGTTGCACCAGGGGGTCCCCAGCAGCCGCATAAAAGCCACAGCTTCTAATGCTCCAGAACCAGCTCCGAAACCACCGGCTCCCAAGGCGAAAGCTGCTCCACCACCGGCTCCAGAACCACCTGCACCCCCCTCTCCTGGCGCCCTGCATCAGCAGCAACATCTCAAGGAAGGTGCGCCTTGTCTAACCGCCTTGTCTAACCTGATCCCGCGTGTCGGGTTCTGGCGGGTATTTGCGTTTGGTGCTTTACGCGGCGCTGGTGCTCCGGGCTCTGTCTGCGGGGGGAAAGGGTCTCGCCACCCCCGAAACCCCCTCCAAGTCAATCTCCACGCCGAATTTCCCCCCGCCGCCACATGTGACTTCTCAGAGAGGCTCCAGGCTTTGGCCGCGGCACATAAGAGGGCCTTGCGTCAACTGGCCTCGGAGCGCCAGCAGATCGCGCAGCAGCAGTCCATGTACGACGCATCGGGTCCAATGGCGGCGGCCGCCGCGGCGGCGGCGGCAGGTCGGGGCCCGCCGCCGCTGTGGCGGCCTGTTGCCGACAGCGGCGCGGACAGCCGGGCGGCTAGGGCGGCTGTACGGCAACAAATGATCGAACAGTTGCAGGTGGCGAATGGCGTGAAACATAAAAAAAATCGTCCGAAAATTAGTCAAAATTTTGAACTAAATCAAATTGAAAATCCTGTTGTTGCTAGAGGGAGGAGCATCAACGCCTCCCCGCGCTCACGCTCATATTGTATGTTTTATGTGTTTTGTGATTGCCGTACAAAGACATACATACACAACTCTATCTTACGTGCGCAGATAGAGCAGATGGCGGCCATGGCGGCTCTGAAGGCGCTGAAGGAGGTACGGCATATGTACGACTTCGGTACGAAAGTAGGATAACCGCAGCAGGATCTCCGTCCTTCATAACTGTCCCATGTCCCCCATGTTAGCGCGCCTAGGTATCGGTTCCACGCGGGATATCTCAAAAGCTCCTTTCGGATGATTCCTGTTTCGTCCCAAATTTATGTGTTTGAAAATCGAAATGAAAAGTTGCGCCATCAGCTGTAGTCAACACGTCGATTATCTTTATATGTCCGGAAGCCAAAAGAGGACAGAGGTAAAGCCAAACTCGCGCGCGCCTTAAGACGGCATGCGCACATTGTACACCTCCTCTTATGAGTAAAATGTTGTTTACTGGAAACTGTGCACACACACACACACTCTTGCTGCAGGGCAAACCATTAGCGGAGGCACGGCAAATCGGCAACACCCAATACAATCAGCAACAACAAGAACAGCAACAGCAGCAACAGCAGGTCGTGCAAGGTCAGACTGTCGGGATGGGCAGCCGGGCAACCCTTGGCCCAGCGCCGGTGGCGGCACAGGCGGCGCCACCGCCCGCAGCACCATACCAGGTGTGTTTTTGGCCCCAATCCCCCCCCTTCCCCCCCGACCCACTTCCTTCCCCTCCCCTCTTCCCTCACCCACCACCCTGCCTCATTCCTTCCCCTGCCCCAACCCCCAACCAAACCCTGCAGTTTTCCAGTGTTCTACTGCTGCCTCAGCAGCAGCAGCAGCAACAGGTTCAGGATCAGCCGGGTGAGGGACGCGGGGTTCGCAACGGCAACATCGACGAGGACCTGGGGCCGCCCACACCGACCCATGGTTCACCCACCACACAGGGGTAAGAGGAAAGCATATATGTGAAGCATATATGTGAAGTTGCGCCGAATTTGCGTCATTCATATATATCTGCATTTGCTTCGGCTCCAGGCAGGATGTGTTCGTGTTCGTGTCATTTCCCCCCTCAGTTGGCAGGGGACGGCAGACATGCATACATGCATACAGACGTACGGACGTGCAGGCAGAGATGTACACTCACCACACATAAACACACATACAGACACTCAACTCTTACGCAAAACCTAACCACCCCTGACCACCTTTAGCGGCAAAGATGCAAAGATGCTCCGAAGATATCCGTAAAGAAATTCTGGCAGAACAACAAAAATTAAGAAAAGCGCCTCCTTCAGGCGCGGGCGGCGGGAACTGGCCGGGGGCCCCGCCGGTAATAACAACAACAACAACAACGGCAACGGCGTCAGCGCCGCTGCATCCTCCGCCGGGGAGATGTTGACGGTGAGTGGCCGCAGCAGTAGCAGTAGGCAGCAGCAGCAGCGGTAGCAGTAGCAGTAGCAGTAGGCAGCAGCAGCAGCGGTAACAGTGGCGGCAGCAATAGCAGTAGCGGCAGCAATAGCAGTAGCAATAGCAGTAGCAATAGCAGTAGGGGTAGCAATAGCAGTAGGCCGTAGCAGTAGCGGTGTGTTAGCGTCCCTCTTCCACAACATGCACAGAGAGGGATGCGTCATCGAGAGGGAGAGGTACAGCGGGGGGCGTTCTGTTCGACTGGAAACGTTTTCGTTCCCCTCCCCCTCCCCAACTGCGCAACCACTACTTCGGGTTTACTCACCTGCCGCTGTATGTAGGTAGGTAGGTAGGTAGGTAGGTAGGTAGGTAGGTAGGTAGGTAGGTAGGTAAGGTTGTATGTATGTTGTTACAGGGTGGTTAACTTCGCCAGCGGCCCCTTTTCCCGGGGCAGTCCCTGCTCTCCCCTGCTAGAGGGGCACCCTAATCCGGCACCCCATCCGACTTCAGATTGTATTCGTTGGGTTCGGCAACTCACCACCAGCATCCAACCTAATCTAGCGGATCAACGGCGCATCAACTTAGTTCCTGGTCAGCTCACAAGTTGATTTTATCACGTCCTATATCGTCCGTATGATGGGGGGCCACCCCCCATTTCAACACTCCTCAAACACCCGAGGAGCCGGCAGGCGGATTTGAACCCGGGTCGGCCGGGAGCAGAAGTCAGGCCTTAACCTCTGCCAGCCTTGTTGTAGGTAGGTAGGTAGGTAGGTAGGTAGGTAGGTAGGTAGGTTGTAGGTAGGTAGGTAGGTAGGTAGGTAGGTAGGTAGGTGAGCTCCAATGCAACTTTGTCTATCCCCTATTTCCCCCCCCATCGACGTGTTCTGTTCCCCTCCCCCTCCACACCCTGGCACAAACATGTACATACGTACATATATACGTACGTACATACATACCAAAATACACATATATATACACACGCTTACATATGCGCAAACGTGTGTGTATGTGTGTGTATGTATGTGTGTGTAGCGGCCTTCTGCCGGCGGCGGCACCAGGGGACCCCCGGGGGAGTCGTCGGAACGCTCCACAGAAGTGCACCAGACCGCCACCACCACCACCGCCGCCTCTGCCGCCGCTTCCTCTTCCGCTCCTGCCTCGACCCCCGATGCCGCTTCCGATGTCGCTGTCGTTGCCGCACATTCGGCGACTGCCGGGGACGTCTCCGGTATGACGTCAACTTCCAACGGTCAACTTCCGGCGGTTGACCAACCGCCGTCGTACATTGAGGACCTCAAGGAGCAAGTCAAGGTGTGGGATGCCATTCCAACCCGACCCAGACTGTGAAGAACTGTGCCGTTACGGGTTCCGTGCCCGTCGAAGTATATTGTATATACCATGTAAATGTGATGTGTTTCAGACTCTCAAAGGATTAATGGGAACTGCAAATGGGGTTCACGTAAATCTCGTCGTTAAGGTGAATGTCCTCACCCATGCATGTATGTATGTATGTATATATCGGCCGCCACCGCTCTCCTTATTTACCACTCACTCCGTGCCCTGCCCACACATCCGACAGCTCACCCCCGCACGTCGCCCGACCCGCATCCTCATGCCCCCCGCCCTGCACTGACATCTTCGCAACCACCCAACCACCCAACCGCCCACGGGATTGTGGTTACGTCGCATCAGGCCCTTCAAGCTGCCGTTGAGCAACAGATGGCCCGACAGCAGCAACAACTAGGACAACAGCAGCAGCAACAACAGCTGCAGCAGCAAGTATATCCAAATGCCCAAATGGCGCCGCCGCCGTTTTGGCCTGTGCCGATGTACGTGCCACCGCCGCCGCCGCCGCCGCCGCCACCGCCACCTCAGCCGCCGCCGCCGCCACAACCGCCGCCGCCGCCTGCCGACCCCATTCTCGCTTGTAGGTGCTGTGCCTTCCCTTCGTATAACCGTTACCTGAAAGCCCTTGAACCTGTTAAACCTACCGTACTGACATGTACACATACATACGTGACATCCATACATACATACATGACATACAACCCGCGCCTTCTGCTTACTGCCGTGTGGTACTTCCCAACCCCTCCCACCCTCCTCCTCCTCTTTTTCAACTCATGTCTGTTTGGCACCGGCTCGACCGTCCGTCCGTCTGTGCGTACGTCCACTTCTCTGTTGGTAGCCCTTCCTCCGGATGTGGCTGCTGACCCGGAGATTAAAGCCGCACACGCCCGTCACGTGCGAGATATGGCGCTTTTAAAAATGGAAATTGACCGGGCCCGTACGGCAGCTGAGCTGGAGCAGATCCGTGCGGTCCTGCAGCAAATCCGGGGCACAAGTGCGTGACGTAATGGGTCGGTGCACGGGTGTATGCCTGTCTGTCTGTCTGTGTGTAGGTGTGTGTATGTATGTGTGTGTTTTAGATTTACCCAGGCCGTGATACGAGAACCGAAGGCCGAAGTGGGTGCACGATTAACTCCATACCGTTGCGAGCTCCGAAGCCACCAGCGACGTGCAATAAGCCTTTTTCGTAAAATAATGCAGGCGTATGTGTATATGTATGTGTGTATATGTATGTGTGTGCATGTGTGTATATGTATGTGTGTGCATGTGTGTGTATATGTGTGTATATGTGAAAAAATATATGTGTATATGTTCGTGGAGATAGGAGTTGGGTTGGGATGTTCGACATGTGGGTCGTTGTGGATCGCTGTTTTCTTCTTGTACTCCTCGCGCTTGCGTCGTCACACGCCTCAACCGCTCTGACTGGGTTTCGAACCGGGGCTGTGCCGCAGGCGAGCCCCCGTCTCAGCAACCACCACAACCACAAGAAGATCAACAACAGCAGCAACTACAACATCAAGTTTCAGAGGCGCGGGCTGTAGACTCGTTCGCGGGTGAAGCGGCCGCGGGCCTCAACTCCGAGGGAGGGCTGCAGGTGCTGCGGCCTTCGGAGGTTGCCGGAACCGGCTGGGCGGATGCGGAGGATGAGGCCTGGGGATTCGCTGAGCAGCCGATAGGGGTACGTAGCTGCATCATCAACTAACCGTAGCTGTCTGACAGTTGGTTATAGTTGAGCAACGGTTAGTTGACAGTTAGATTTGCTTTAGCCGGTAAGAATGATTATCACAAGAGTGTGTGTGTGTGTGGGGTGATGACAATAACGCACATGTGGACGGTGATGACAATGACGACGATGGCGATGTTATATACATACATACATACTTGTTGCAGGTCGCGGACGCAGCGCTGGATCGAGAGGAGTACGACAATGATCCCGCCGCCGCCGTCGGCGCTGGGGAGGGCCCTGCGTACCCCGGTCAAGAGGATCCCTCCGAGCAGCTGCTCCGCGACCGTCCGGCGCATCCGTTGGGGCCGTTGCAGATAGGCCCGTCACAACTGGGGCTTATTCCCGATTCCCATGTCCTGGAGGTACGTACGTTGCGTGGGTACGACCTGGTACGGCATGGTACAATGCATGTACGATAGTCGAGTTTTTTGGCAGGCGAGTTCTGGCGCTGGTGCGCGTTCCGCACAACTCCGCACCCTCTTACTCACATTGTTCTTACATTGCTCTTACTCACATTGTTACTCTCTATTGTTCTCTTTCTCTCAAATATATACTCTAACACAAACACAAATACACACAAATACACACAAACACATTTTTCGCAACTCCTCCCTGTCGCGTATCATATCTCCCTCCTTCCCCTCCTTTCCTTTCTCTTCATCTTCACTCCGCGGGCGGCCCCCAATGCCCCCTCACACAATTTCCAAACCGCAACTGCAGGTTCGCCTCTTCACTGCCGGGCCCTTCCAGAAACGAGGGACGTACCGTGTACGGGCCGTACTGTACGACGGATACCAACCGATGGAAGCAGCTCCAGGTGTGATGATTTGATTATGATGTTTATGATGATGGTGATGATGGTGATCATGATGGTGATGATGGTGATCATGATGGTGATGATGGTGATCATGATGGTGATGATGCGGATCATGATGGTGATGATGGTGATCATGATGGCGATGATGGTGATCATG